CAATGTAGTTCTAATATTTTATCGCCCCGCCCCCCTTAGATAAGTCAACACGCGGAGTGAGGCAATCTTCTTCGTCTGGGGCTCAGCCAAACACTGGGATCTGTTCCAGGCCTGGAGGAACCCCTGGTGCAGGACTTACAGAAGATGGTATGTTGGTATCCAGTGTGGTGCCTGCTTAGGAGATTTTCAAGGAAAATTTTGAGTTTCTGCAATTTTCACTTGATAGGCTGAGTTTAGAACCTAACTGTCATGTATAAAGCAGATTTATGTATTTAAAAATTATAATAAAGGGGGCAAGAAGCATAGAATAAAACGACTTACATGTCAAAATATGAATAGTTGTCTATAGGTGATGGGATTATGAAAGATTTTTTCCATTTCCTTATACTTTTCAGAATTTGGCAGATTCTCTATAGTGAGACTGTATTACCTTCATAAGCAGTTACTTGCTTATAAAAGCATTTACAATACAGTTTTCACGATTTTCAGTTATTCTTTGTAAATAATGTACTTCTGTCTAAAATACAGTTTAAAGTCACATTACTACAAACATTTTAGCTCCATGTTTCCTAGTCATGGCTTCCATTTATTGAGCACTGATAACATACCAGGCTGCGCACAAAGCACTTGATGTGCATTTTAACCCTCACAATATTCCTATAAGGTTTACCTGCTGTTCTGCTATACAGATGATGCTATTGTTATTTTAATCTTATTGAACATTTACTGTGAGGCTGTATTCTAATCACTACTTGTTTAATATGAGGTTAAGTACCTTTCCCAAGATGAGCCCATAAATTAGAGCCAGAGCAGGGTGTGAGTTTGGCTGCCGAGCCACACTCCTTCCAGCTGGTGGTACAGATGTGAGGCTCGAGGTTTTGGGATTCCAGGACAGTGGGGTGTGGGACTCCAGCCTAGATGTACCTCCTTGCTGTTAAAATCCTTGGTCTTCTCGGAAATTTAAAAAATATTATTTATATCTTGGCTATTTGAGAGTTATTTAAGGGAACTGGTGTTAGGAATCGTCTTAAGAAAAGTCTGGTTGAACTACTAGAAGTAAAACAGAAGCTATGCCTACAATTACTTTCGACATCATAGGCACTAACTGAGCTATTTTACCAAAAGTAAACCAAAAATGAGAGCATTATTCTCTGTTATTTTTCCTTAGAGAATAATAATTTATTTGTAGTAGTAGGACTTGAAAGGGAGGAGTCCTTGGCATATGTGGCAAAGGCATTATTAAAGGCAGGGATTAGAAATGGCTTTTTTCCCCCCCGTTTTCCTTCAAACCTACAAATACTAAGGAAATGCTGTTAACTATCCAAATAGCAGCACTACACTTTTGTGGTAGAGCCAAAACACTTCAATCTCAGGTACCAAAAGTTAAAACAACAAACTAGGCATGTTTTCATTACCAGAAATATGAGAAAATAGTGCAAAGGCTACAATGCATCAGGCACAGTATAGCGTCTCTAGGTAGCTAAAGCTATCAAATGGGGACAGCTGGTTAGACGTTATAATGTATGGTCCCTATTCTACAGCTGACATGCCACTCGAGTGGCTACACTGGGGCAGTCACACATCTCTCTCATTGTACCTGGCTAAGACTTAATTTAATTCTGCATTTATAAAGAAATTTTCACATAATTCTCATGGAACAAGCATACATTTATTGACTCATTTTAAATAAAACAAATTAACTGACTTATTTGGGTAATAGTTATTCAGCAAAAATATTTACTCTGAAATATAAAATTAGAGATGACACCCCCCTTCTTTTTAAAAAAAAATACATTTTTATTAATTTCAGAGAGGAAGGGAGAGGGAGAGATAGAAACATCAATGATGAGAGAGAATCATTGATTGGCTGCCTCCTGCATGCCCCCAACTGGGGATCGAGCCTACAACCCAGGCATGTGCCCTTGACCGGAATCAAACCTGGGACCTTTCAGTCCGCAGGCCGACGCTCTATCCACTGAGCCAAACCGGCCAGGACACCCTCCCACCCCCATTCTTAATAAGTATTTGCTTCTGCTAAACATCACCTTGAAAATGTAAAACCGTTAAAAACAAAAACAAAGAACCGTTGTGTGTATGTAAGTAAGTAACATATGTCTCCTAAAGAGAAACATATCAGAGTTGTAGGAGGGGGAAGTTGTGTCAAAATAACATCTACAGTCTGTGATTCTTTGAACTTTTTGTGGTCTGGCTACTGCTCTGTGAAAGAGAAGTAACTACTTCACAAGGTTGCTGCAAAGCTCAAATGGCAATATTTATAAAGTATAAGATGTCTAAGCTGTGAAGAAGTATAATTACTTTATAAATTATGTAAGAGGATATATTTAATATTCCACATGAGTAGTTTTCCTGTCTAATTTAAATCCATGTTATTTCCAATGCTTACTGCTTACAGCTCAGATTTGTGTTCTACAAGGCAACAACCCATTATGTTAAATCCTGTAATTTCTTTCTTACAGGCACCCTGAGTACATTCTGTACCACTGGACGGTGGGGATTAGCTGGTGGATTTCAGGCATGTTGTGGAAGTTGCTGATGAGATCCCAGCTTTGCAGGCTGTGTTCTTTCAGAAGGATGCTATCAGCTCCTAGATACAGACCTTTTTTAGCTTGCTTCACCTATACAACCAACAATCAGCCTAACAAAGAAAATCAAAGAACAGTGGAAAAGCTCCATAAATTTTCAGTTGACATCAGGAAAATACGCAGATTAAAAGGATGGGTCCTTTTGGAGGATGAAACCTATGTTGAAGAAATTGCAAATATTTTACAGCAACTAGGTGCCAATGAGACTGCGGTCGCCAGTATTTTGGAACGCTGCCCAGAAGCCATTGTCTGCAGTCCAACCGCTGTTAACTCCCAGAGAGAACTCTGGCAGTCCCTCTGCAAAAATGAGGAAGAGTTAGTCAAGTTAATAGAACAGTTTCCAGAATCTTTCTTTACGGTTAAAGACCAGGAGAACCGGAAACTGAATGTTCAGTTCTTTCAAGAGTTGGGACTCAAGAATGTGGTCATTAGCAGGTTTTTGACAACTGCACCTAGTATTTTTCATAATCCTGTGGAGAAGAATAAGCAAGTGATAAGGATTCTCCAGGAGAGTTATCTAAATTTAGGTAGCTCCGAGACCAACATGAAAGTTTGGCTACTGAAGTTATTAAGCCAAAACCCATTTATTTTGTTAAATTCTTCTGCAGCTATAAAGGAAACACTGGAATTTCTCCAGGAGCAAGGTTTCACAGACTCTGAAATTCTCCAGCTTCTGTCCAAACTGAAAGGGTTTCTTTTTCAACTTGGCCTAAGAAGTATACAGAACAGTATTTCCTTCTCTAAAAATGCTTTTAAATGCACAGATCATGACCTGAAGCAGTTAGTTTTGAAATGTCCTGCCCTTTTATATTATTCCGTTCCCATTTTGGAAGAGAGAATTCAGGGATTATTGAAAGAAGGAATTTCCATAGCTCAGATAAGAGAAACGCCCATGGTTCTGGAATTAACACCACAGATAGTGCAGTACAGGATAAGGAAACTGAATTCCTTAGGCTACAGAGTAAAGGATGGACATCTAGCAAGTCTAAATGGAACGAAAAAAGAGTTTGAGGCTAACTTTGGTAAAATCCAGGCCAAAAAAGGAAGGCCATTATTTAACCCTGTTGCACCGTTACATGTTGATGAGTAACTCACTGGCTGATACTGCTCCTTCTGGCAGTGCAGAGTGACACTGAGTAGCAAAGACACAGGATTCAGGCTGTTTGCAGGCACCAGGAATTTTACCTCTAAGTAAATAATCCCCAACTCATATGCTATATTATAAAATATAAATTACATTTATTTTAAATAAAAGTTGCTAATTTTGATCTTAAGCTATTTTTAAAAAATCTTGTACCATTCAATGACACATTAGTGTGATATAAGTGAATCATTTTTAAGAAACTGACAAGTGTCATTTTTTAAAAATTTGTTTTTATTGATTTCAGAGAGAGGGAGAGAAAGAGATAGAAACATCAGTGATGAGAATCCTTGATCAGCTGCCTCCTGCACACCCTCTACTGGGGATCGAGCCTGCAACCTGGGCATGTGCTCTGTCTGGGAGTCAAACCATGACCTCCTGGTTCATTGGTTGATGCTCAACCACCAAGCCACACCGGCTGGGGAAACAAGTGGCATTTTTTTATTTATCTAGTACAGCGGTTCTCAACCTGTGGGTCGCGACCCCTTTGGGGGTCGAACGACCCTTTCACAGGGGTCGCCTAAGACCATCGGAAAACACATATATAATTACATATTGTTTTTGTGATTAATCACTATGCTTTAATTATGTTCAATTTGTAACAATGAAATTGGGGGTCACCACAACATGAGGAACTGTATTAAAGGGTCGCGGCATTAGGAAGGTTGAGAACCACTGATCTAGCACATTTCATCTGGGATGTAGACCCAGCCTTCTTTCTCACCACCAGCTCTGAAACATCATTACCGTGGTCTGAGTTCTGTAGCTTAGTGTTAAAGTGAAACATCAGCAGATTTCTAATACATTTTTTTAGAGAAAGATGATTTTATCTCCTGGTTGGAATGAGTATCTTTCAGAACCAAGTATTACTCATCCAGAAAGAACAATTAGAGCTTATTTGTATGGTCACGTTGTTTAAAATTGACCATTTTTCTCTCATGAAGTGCTTTTAAGTGCATTCATTACTTTCCCCATTTTACAGATGAGGACACTGAACCTTAGAGAGGCCACTCAGCTGCCAAGTGACAGCCCAGATTTACTATGATCCGACTTCTTTTCAAACCTTGTGAATAGAAAAAGGATTGCTTATGAGTTGGCATGAAAAAAGTCACCCCTCCCTGACCTGCCAAAAGAGTGAGTACCAACGAATTTAGGGATTTTTATGAAAACTTCTCTGTAAAATGCCTTCAATTTGAAATGATATAATTCATATACATTTGAAGTACATGGAGCATTTTTAAGAACTTTCTGAAAATCCAGGTCGGCCTATAAAAGGGAAAGTGTGTGATGGTTGGTACTTAGTAGCATTTCACATTTCTATTTCTAAATCTTGCCAAGATAAACATTACCCAGATAAAGACTGGCCCACTTTCAGCTGTGGAGTTTGAACTTTGTAACAACCAAACAATTAACTCTGATAGTCAAACCTCTGTGCACTGTGTGTGAATGGTCTTTTCTTAAGGAAAATATGAAAAATGCAGGCCATGTCTTCAGCAAATGCAAGTAGCCCTCACTATCCAATTCTGTTAAGTTCCTTAGGAGAGGAAAGACATCTACGCAGCACCAAGTGCCAGGCACATTGTGCTTTGCAACACTAGGAGTTCGGTACCATTGTTTACTGGTCTACAGATGAGAAGACTCAGGCACACAGAGGGTTACTCACCCAAAGTCACATGGGAATGTTCAAGAAAAAGAATGGCAGTACAGTGGGGGCAGGGTTGCAGGGCAAGGAGAGTGGGGCAGGATGAGTATTACAGGTCCATCTAAAGAGCAGAATCTCATTCTGAGTGTGATGGGAAACCCGTAGAGAAACTAGATGCTTGTTGTCCCACCATAATTATCAGTGGTGCTTTGTCTTTTGTCTCAGTTTGAAATACATTGTATATTATGTGATCACCTTTTATAGATGTTAATTTTTGAGATGTCTACTAGATATCAGAGCAGAGATGTCAAAGAGTCAAATGCTAAAGTCCAGAATTGTGAGAAGTTAGGACTGGAGATAGAGATCCAGGGGTCATTTGCATATCTATGAAATGTAAAGCTATGGCTCTCGATGAGCTTATCCAGAAACAAAGTGCAGATTTGTAGCACTAGCTGGCCAATCCTGGAAAGGGTTGACCAGTGGAAGTCTGCCAAGAAAAGAGGGCATGGTCAATAAGATTGAATGCCATGGACATGCCAACTAAGATACAGACAAGTGACTAATAGAATTGGCAAATAGGAAATCATTAGTTGGCCCTATCAGGAGTGATTCTGGTGGACTGAGAAAGGTAAGAAAGCAACTGGAATAGGTTGAAAGGCTAGATGAAGAGGAAGAAACTGCAGTTGTTTTCAAGAAGTTTTTCTTTAAAGAAAGCAAATACTAAGATTTGTTTACTAGTACATGCTGATGGGTATGACCCAAGAGAGCTGGAGATGGAAAACTGTAGGTTTCATATCCTTGAGGAAGTGAAGGTGGGCAGACTTTGGATGAGCGCACAGATACTAGTCCTGGTCCGAGTGTGGCATCAGGTGCAGGCAGGTGGATGGAGTGGGTGGTATGAGAGGCAGGAGAGTTGCTGTCAGAGAAGGAAGTAGAATGGGAGATGGGAGTATGTATAGCAAGAGAGTCGGAAGGAGGAGGTATGAAAGTCATCTGGAGGAGTAGTAAAGTGACCATACAAGAGGGTATATAAGAAAGTTTGTCAGAATTGAGTGACCCTGAGCGCTTTGTCGGCCATTAATTTAGTCTAGTCATTACAGCAGCAAACTTTAGGGGCACAGGCCCATGTAGAGAACTTGAGACACATACAGTTTTTAAAATACATTTGTAACTTACTCTAACTTGAAAAGATTAAGTTAAAATCCACATTTGTGGTTAAAAAAAAAAATCCAGTATATTGCCCTAGCCAGTTTGGTTCAGTGGATAGAGTATCAGCCTGCGGACTGAAAGGTCCCAGGTTCAATTCCAGTCAAGGGCACATGCTCAGGTTGCGGGCTTGATCCCTAGTAGGGGCCATTTGGAAACAGCAGGAGGCAGCCGGTCAATGATTCTCATCATTGATGTTTCTCTCCCTCCCTCCCTCTCCCTTCCTCTCTGAAATCAATAAAAATATATTGTTTTTAAAATCCAGTATATTGACTTTATATTCCCTTAGACTAAATGTTACTACATTTTCTTTTGTAAACCTTTGAATCTGCCTTTTTCCATTCTTGCATTCTTATTCAGATCTTCCTGAGTAAAATTTAAAATAATTCAAAATCAACAACAGAGCAGGGAGAGATACTCTTACATAAAACACTAGAGTCAAATTTTTATTTCCTGTGTGAAAAGAGACTCTAGTAACAATTATTTCCTTTAAGTCATTTAGTGGAATATAATTACACTAAACTCATTTCTGTGGCGAAATATAATTAGCTGCCACAGTAAATATAAATATGGTCACCAGGAAGTTCAAGCTAGACAGCCTGGTAAATCTAGCACAGGCAGCACTGAATGCCGACAGCAGAATTAAGGACTTGTTACTGATGGCCCCATTTCTGTTTCTGGACCTAAACTGGAGAAGTGACTTACACTAATTCAGAAATTATATAGGAAATTCAACTAACATTGAAAGACTGTTCCATATTTGTATGAAGAGAATAAAGATATACCCTCATAGTGATTAAATCAGATAATGTGTGGACAGCCCCTGGTGGGTAAGTAGATGCCCAATATATATCCATTTTCTACCTTCCTCCAACTGGTTCCCATCCCTTTGAGTCACTTCTGTTCAGTGAGATGTCTAAGTTGGTTCCACAGCTACGTAGGACAGAGGGAAGTGCTCACTACTTTGTAACTTCATCAGTTCCCACGTTTCAGAGTGCACAGGAATCACCAGCAGAGGTTGTTAAACTGCAGTCCTACAGACCCCACCCTACAGAGATTCAGCAAGTTGGGGTCAAACCTAGAAATCTACATTTTTAATCTTTATTAGAGTTGTTTAAAATATATTTGCATTTCATTTATTGTGTTGGCATCAAAATATATTCAGAGATGTTTTATCTTGTTTCTTCATTAACGTCAAAAATTTGTAAACTTTCTAAACTGCTATGTAACTAAAAATTTTAAGACTACCCTGTTTTAAAATTTCCTTTATTCCCTTAGATCTTTATGAAACATTTCATATTTTGTAGATCATAGTGTTTTATTAACAGATTCATGTATTCTTTTCTCATTCCTTTAATACAAAAAACTTCAGTCATCAGTTATTTTCATCTAAGTGCAGGACTCATAATATCGACATTAGATCAGTCATTCAGTGGGTCACACACGGTTACCCTCATTGTGCAAATACCCACTCAAAAGAAAAGCTGAATAACAGATACCTCCAGGTATATACAACCACCTTAGTTTCTTGAAGTGAACTAGTACTGTTTACAAGTCAAATGCTAATCTACAAAAATAAACTGAGAAAGACTCAAGTGTACAGCTATACATATCAGATGGCAAGTTCATTTCAACAAGAACCTCCATGACTAACTTCATTTGTACAGTTCTCTGCTATCATTGCAAAAGCCTCTCCTGAACAAAGTTACAGTTTAGAATTTAAAACAAACTCGGTAAGATAAAATGTACCAGGTGGCTTTTCTGTAGCAGAAATTAATCACAACCATTTTATTTTCCTCAAGCAATTTTAAAGATAACCAAAGTTAAAAATAAATATGCAAGCATACAGTCAACTAAAGTATGTTTAGAAATGCAGGTATAAAGCACAGCAGAACCTATGACTAGAGAAGATAAATTAGAAATATGACCTATTAATGAAGTAATAATTTCTTTCAAATAGCAGGAAACAAGTTCTCCACTACCATTATTTTAGGTCATTATTTGTGTTCATCTATTAATTTGGATTAAAAAAAAAAACCACCATTGCTAATTATGACATTTGACCAGATATACCAACAAGTAAACCTTAAATTACACAGCATGAAATAAAAGGCCATTTAATTTCTGATGAATTGAATTCCTTAACGACTTCTCAGTTTTATATACTGTAGAAAAGTTCAAGAACATTTGTAGATTTGCTTAAAATCCCTGCTGGTATTCATGAAAGTTTTTGAAAAGTAATGTTCTTATCCATTTGGTAATCCACATTAATGTAAAAATTCTTTGTTGTTTACAAACAGTTCAGCCTTGGGTGTGGGAGTGATCTGTTTTAAGTTCTCAGGGAGGCTATTTCACTTATTTACTCCAGAGCATCATACCTTTCCTTCCCTCCCTTGCAAGGAAAAAATATCTGCAGAATGGAGGCAAATATCTGGACTTAGTATAAAGATAACAGATTTTTTTCAGGATTGGATTATAACCCCTAGTTAGGATGAATGCCAAATATATATGCCACTTTTAAATTTTTTATGAAACAAGAAACAAAAAGATGAATTTCAGCTAAGTCATATTCTTTGAGAATGATTGAAACATGATATGTTAAGACTTGACACACTTATCATCCGCAATCAAAAACTTCAATTCCCTGCCTGAATTTGACTTGGAAAATGATACAAAGTCTACAGCTGCTTTAAAGGATGGTGAGATAACATTTTAAAAGCCTGTAAACCAGTGGTTCTCAACCTTGGCTGCACATTAGAATCACCTGGGAATCTTTTTAAAATCCTGATTTCTGGGCCGCATCCTCCGGAAATTCTGTTTCTTTGTTACTAATGTTGTGGCCTCACCCCATAACAAAGAAACAGAATTTCCAGAGGATGAGGCCCAGAAATCACGATTTTAAAAAGATTCCCAGGTGATTCTAATGTGCAGCCAAGGTTGAGAACCACTGCTATAAACCATTGAAAACACATATATTTTACATTCAAAACTAATCCCTGGAGCCCATTTCATTCAATTTAAAAGATAGCTCCCACATATTTGTGGCTCTTTTACCATGTTTTTAAAAAAACCTGCTTATAATTTAAGCCATCCTAGAGATAAAATAAATGTAAAGAATTCTTTTTATATCTGGGATGTTCTAGGTAATTTTTAAAAACTAAAAATTATTTATTTGTTCCTCCTTAATCTGAAACTCTTCCAACAAAGCTTCTGACTAGCAAAGACATATTCCTTAGGCACTGTGAGGTGTACTGATGATGGAGCATGAACCCAGGTTGAAGCATATTGTTGGTCATAACTACAGACAGTTAACAAAAAGTTAACCACTATCTTATCTGCTAAGAGCAAGAAATGCTTTTACCCCAAGACTCCTGAGATTCTTAAAGAGAGAAAACTGATCTGATACAAACAACTTTTAAGAGAATCCATATATAATGCTAAGAACTGCACAATGAGGGTATTAGAAAAGATGTTTTCTTTTGTAAGGCATCGATGATGAAATAAATATAATGTATATCTAACAAAAGATGGTTAACACTCAGGATCATAAAACCCTTTATCTTTTCTTTTAAATTTCTCTAAATCTTGCTACCTTTACCAGCTTAAATAAGAAAAGAATGCCTCTTGGCCTAATCAACTATCATTATAAAAAAACTAAGACATCTGAAACTAGTAGGCACATCAAAATTACAGTTTATGTAGTTCAAGGTTCCCTTTTTAAGGGACAGATGTGTTACCTGGCACATTATACATATGGAATTGTAAAGATCATCCACTAAATTCAACTTTCACATTTTTAGTTAAACTAAAAGACTTATAGTAAATACTCAAATATATCTTCAGTTACAGCTGATAAGCGTAACATTTTACCAGATAAAAAGCTGGAATTTAAGTATGAGAAACCTTCATACACTGTGCTAGTATTGGTCTCTTCTTTTTAGACGAAAGCCAGTCATCAATACTTTCAACACAGCAGTTTAAGAAGATAAACATCCAAAACAGTTGACTTAGTTGTAGTCCATAATTTAGCAATTCAATGCCATTGGCATCATAATGCTGTAGAGAGCAAATGTATCTCCATGTTTTAGTCAGATTTGTCTTTCTTCTTTCCTGTTAAGGGCACTTTGTTTACAACAGCAGACCCAACAGCTGTAACACCTCCAGCCACAGCAGACACGCCCCCTTTCACCAGCCCTATTCCCATGGAAGGCACAGTTGTAACAGCTGTTTTGGTCACCTCCAGACTCTTTCCACCAATCCAAGCCACACCACCAATGGTGGCACCAACAGCTCCTTTTGTAACACTGAAAATACCGCCAGTCACACGGGACAACATGCCTGGTTGCTGCTGTGGGTGATCTTTCATTGATCCTAATGAGAAAATAGAATGAGATTGTTAAATATGTCTACAAAAAACAGTACAAATCAAGTAACCTAAGACTTCCTAATAATCAGGAGGTTGTTTTGAGAAGGTCGACCACATTACAAATGTCCATGTTCAGCAGTGGCTAAATTTTTAAAATCCAAATTTTTTATTTAAACTATTTGAGTAATAAGCATAGTTAATATAAATTTTTAAATAGCTGAATTAAAAGGCTTAAGATATAGATAAGCATTTGAATATACCATAGTCACGCCTTACCTATGGTTTCCCTTGGTTTGAAAATATTAAATGGCAAATTTCAGAAATAATTCATGAAATTTCAATTGTGTGCCATTTTGAATAAAGTGATGAAATCTTGAGCCACCCCCCTCCATCTGCCTAAGAGGTGAATAATACCAATGTCCATCACAATAAGATAGTTTGAGAGAGGGAGACCACATTCATGTAATTCTTTTACAGTATATGGTAATGGTTCTATTTTATTATTCTTGTTAATCTCTTGCCTTGTCTGATTTATAAAGTGAGTTTTATCATAGGCATATATGTACAGGAAAAAACCATGTTATTCATAGGGTTTGGTACTATCCAAAGTTTCAGGGATCCACTGGGGGTCTTTGAATGTATCCCCTGTGCATAAGGGGGAACTACTGCATTAAGTATAAAATTATGATGGAAAGGATTTCATAATTGGTCATTCTTTTGTAATCAAGGTCAAGGTCAGTAACACTAGGGAAGGAGGAAAATCCTGATTTGAGAATAAAACATACTGCTTCACACTGAACACCTCATATAGGATCAGACTGCTAGGCTAAATTTGGTGCACAAGCATTTAATGAAGGTAGTTTTTCTCAGTCAAATCCAATAAATATTAATGCTGTTGATCTCTTTAATTACAGTGTACTCTTAATTACCACCCTATAAATTATCTACTTTGCAGACTACTTTTGTTTAGCAGGTTGCCATGCACAGTCATTCCTGAGGCTTGTTCTTTTCCCTGGCAGTCATGCTCCTGGAGAGCCTTTATCTCTTTCCTGGTGACTTTCTCACAAAGTCCTTACTAACTTTTCACTGAGTCCTAACTTCTTTTCAGGGTTCTAGCCCTAATAAATAAAACAAGGAAAACAGGTGAGGTGATAATTTTCTAGGCTATTTCACCAGCAAACTAAAGCTTAGTTACCTCCATCCTCTTTTAGGCTTAAGTATGAACTTTTAATTGTGTTTATTTTCCTAGTGATTTCATTTTTGTCTGCTAACATAAATATAGGAAGAAAGTTTTGGACAATGAGTAACAGAACTGGGAACAAAATACAATACCTAGAGCTAGAAGTTCAGCCTTAGCCTCTTCCCAGAGACATCCTCATCCGTCTGCTACTGTAACCTATCTTGTCTGTAAGTCACTTAACATCCCTTATTCTCCAATTTGATTCTCTTTCTTACCTAATATGACGGTCCTGTACAAACATGCAGTTGTCCAAAGAGATCACTATTTGAATTAAAGATAATAATATTCTACACCAAAACCATAAATAGAAAATGCCCATCAAAACATTTAGCTGTACAGTTAGTGTTTCCAAGGATTTCTGAAGTAAAGGTAAGAATAAAATGATTCATGATATAACAATTTTCAAATTAAAGAGAATTTAAATTAAGCAGACCCTAAGACCATGTATAATATGGGAAGAGAGAGCTACCAATTATTAATAATGAGATGAAATGATAGGAGTTTAACAACAAATCGCAAGTACCTCTTGAGTTTTTGTATGTCAGGTATCAACACTAAACACAGTCCAATTTTCCTCTGCATCCCACCCACTCTTCTTTACAAATTAAAGGATATTCTTACTTGTGAAATAAAATAAGAGTAACAGAAAAATAGATTTTACATGTACCCATATCAGTGTTTTCTTTTAGAGGCTAAAAAGGTTTATCATAGATTATTTTTGGAATTTATTTACTGACAAGGTAAACAGTTTTTTAAATTTAATAAAAACAATCAGAACTTGGATTCAATAGGATATTTGTTCCATTCTTAGTGTTACAGATGCACACTTACCTTCTGGTGGTTCGTCACTAAGGTATGATGGGATATCTTGTTGATTTTTATCTGCCTGATTCATGATCTAAAAAAACACACACACATATTTCATTTTAACCTCAACATGGAAGACTACCACTTATCACATGCTCAATTAAGACTTAATCAACTTTTTTCAGATAAACAACAGTTTAAAACACCCATCACAAGACTACTTCTTGTTTCTCTCTTGTGGTATTTAAGACATACTTTTAGTTATACTATGGACAATATAAATCTTATCTCAAATACCAACCAAAGAACGGTAGGCATTGTATAGTAGACGTTTCCCTGTTTTACTGCTGCTTCAACTTAAACTGAAGATGACTAACTGAAGAAAGCTGGAAGGTGGGGGTTAGCAGACAAAAATTTTAAGTGTTTCCTCTTACAGAATATTGGCTGACTCAACTGTAATTTATTTCAAAACAGAGTTAGAGAAAAACCTATGACTAAAATATGTTCTATCTAAAAATTTTCTAAAAAAAAATGACATCCTTCTATAGAGATGACACCATCAGTCTGAATCACTAAGAAGGATTTTGATTACTTTTTTATTGTTTTTAGAGCTCTAATAAGTAGGTAGCAAAAGAGTCCAAAATCTATGAAAAAAAAAGTACTATGATTACCTCTAAGTATATGTAGTAAAAGAACCTAATAAAATAAAACTATGCTAGGGTGAAGAAAACGTAAACTTTCTTTTCCCAATTTCCTTTACTAATTTTTAAAAGTCTTTATTGTTAAAAGTATTACTGACACCTTCTAGCCCTCCCCCCACCCCAGGCCTTCACCACCCTATTGTGTGTGACCATGGGTTATGCATATATGCATAAAAGTTCTTTGGTTGATCTCCTTTACTATTTAAAAATATTTGCTTTTATAGTCACTTGACTAAGTAAAAATTAAAACAAGTTAAGACTGGTCTAAAATTTTCTTGCTTGGCCAGAAAGTGAGGTTGTGGTCCCAGCAGTCCACCAAGTATTCTGGACTACCTAGGCCCTAACAAGGCCAGGTGGTGGTTAGCTTTTAACTCCTGAGTGAGATGGGGAGCCAGTGAAAGGCACTGAACGGAGAGGAGTGATATGTTCTGATTTATACTTTTAAAAACAAAAATTCTGGCTATTGTGGGAGAACACTCAACAGGAGAGCAAGAACAAGCAGGAATACTTGTTAGGAAACTTAGAATAATGTTTTCATAGTTCATACATTTTGCAGCAAGTTGCAGAACAGAGTGGTTTAAGTGGTCAAAGGAAAGTCAGGGAACTTTTCCTTTCCTTAATGATTCCTAATGATTTTAAAGTACTGGATGATCAGATAAAAATTCCTATTTCCTTCTGTAGCTTAATAATTACGGCAAAAGTTGGTAAATGAGGGAAAGAGAGGTAATGGTTGTGAGAAGTGGGATTTTTCAAAGGTAATTTTAACTTTATGTAATTCAACTTGCAATGCCTTTAAAACCTAAATCCTGTGTAAGTTGGGACTTCACTGTATCCCACAGAGTCCAGCAGCCCCTGCCAGAGTGCTTAAATATCTTTCAGTTGTTGTAGTGACTCGGGCCACTTGCCAAGAACACCTATCTTATGCTGGTCTGGTTTGTGAATTTAGCAGATCATCCCATACACACTTGAGATTTAAAGTGATAGTAAAGACATGTAATCTCTGACAAAGAACAAAAACGAAAGAATATCAGGTGATGCATTCCTGGGAAAAGGAGTTCTTGACTGACCTGCCTCAATTTTAAAACTCCCTTAAATCAGAATGTTAAATTTGTTTCCATTCATATTTATATTCCTTTAATTTATCATCATGATAATTTATCATCATAGGTATTACACAGCTTAGTGTTTACGGTTCTGGGACCAGAGAGCCTGAGTCTGAATCCCAACTTGACCATAAACTGTATGGCTAAGGACAAATAACTTCATGGATCTGTGTTGTTCAGGAAATACAAAATAGAAATTAAAGATATTCTAGCCCTAACTTTAAGGTGAGAATACTATTTAACAAATTCAAGCCAAAACATACAGAAATTCCTGGCAGAGTATGTGTCCCTTCCTAAGGAATAACTATTTGAGAGCTACTTTCTTCCTCAATAAACTATTGATTCCTAAGAGAGACATTTTGTCTAGCTTGTTCAGCACTGTAATCCCAGTATTCGTATACCATACACATACAAATCCAGATCACTAATCAATAGAGGCTATCATTCCCTGTACAGAAATATGGGAAATTATATAGACATTATACACATTAAGTATTTAGCAAGCGTTAAAAAGAGTTGTGATAGTAACTGCATACATTTCAAAACTGCCTTTCGGTATATATCCCACAAATCCCTACTAAGAGTCTTACCTTTTCCTCCTAATACAGAATCCCTTTTAAAAATATTTTTAATTTTTCCAACTCTATCTTGTAATAAAAAAGACCACTTTTTTATGCTGTGCTTTATGAAAGCATAAAAGATATGTGCAAATTCATCTAAATAATATGAATTAACTTTACCTTCCTGTGGGTAGACAATAAGGAGCCAGGAAGCAGAGTAACATTGTCAGACCTGTGCTTTAAGAAGCTAACTGGAGCAAGAACATTTAGAACAAAAAGATTAAATACAGTAAGTGGCTAATTTAGTAGTCCAGGGAGATGGACTAACAGTCTGAACTCTGCCATTTTTCCTGTCTAAATAAATGTTTGGGCCAAAAACTTAGGAGTCACCTTTGATTTCCTCTTTTTTAACATTCCCACCTAATCATTGGTATATTGTTGCCTAAATAAATCCAGCATAGGACTTCTCATAACCTCTACTGCTACCACAGTCAGTTAAGCCATCATAATCTCTTACCTGGACTACAAAATCTCTTAACTGGCCTCGGAGCTTCCACCCTTGCACAGCTAGACCTTTCTGTCTAGCCATGTCATACTTTGCTTAAACCCTCCTGCTGCTGCCTGTTTTTCTTAGAATAAAATCCAGAGTCCATCCCTTCACCTCTGAGGCCCAACATCTAACACTCTGATGCCATTTTCTACCATTGTGCCTCTTGCTCGGTCCAGTCTAGCAACATGGGAACTTCCTTACCTTCTCCTTAAAGGCTCTTCCTCTACATATATACCTGGCTTCTTCCTAACTTCCTTCAGGTCTTTGTGTAAATGTCCCCTTATCAAAGGTCTTCCCTGACCCCTTATAATAATGGATAAGCACTCTCGTAACTCCTCTCCCTCTCATTACCACCTAACCCTGCTCTATATTCTTCACTGTGCTTATTGTCCTTTGATATATGTATGTGTTCACTTCGTGTCTCTTCCAATTAGAATGTAAGGTCCATGAGAACAAGACTTGGTTTTGTTCCCTGTTCCATCGCAAGGGCCATAATCAATGCCTGATACATGGACACTCAAGTACTTGAACTTTTTGGTATGAAGTAGAAAATAACTTTGGGTATTAATGAGAGATAAAAGGAGAATAAGCAACTAAATAGACAGAAATGATGGTGAAGACAAGCAACAGGAGAGGAGAAACCATTTATTTCTGAGAGAAGATGGACTTTTAAAATTTTATTTTATTGTGGTAAGAACACAAGATCTACCCTCTAATAAATAAGTGTACAATACATTATTGTTTTTGAACAGCTGTATTTGAAGATGCCTTCAGGGCATCCACAGAGGTTTAGCAGGCAATTGGATTTAAGGGGCTTGAAACTCAGAATGAGTCTGACTTGAGATCCTGAGAGTGGTTTGAAGTGATAGCTGAAGCTGTGGGAGATGGGTGATATGATCAAGGAAAAGAGAGTTGTAAACTGATAACTGGATTGCTCATATTTAAGAGGTGAAAAAGAAGCCAACAAAAACAAAAAATATATCTGGAAATGAATAGTCTAATGAGTACACCCTCATGGAAAGCAAGAGATAAATTTATAAGCTTTCTATAAACACATACAATGCAGACATTAAAATAATTTATGAAGATCAAATACTACGGGGAAATGCTAATGTTGCATTTAGAAAATATAAAAGGCATATATCATTGATCTAGCTTTTTAAAAAATACACATAAAGAGACTGGAGGAAGTACACTAGAGTGTTGACAGGCTGCCAGTATGGGGGTGGGGGCAGGTTATACACACATACACACACAAAGTATTTCTACATATAGAAATGAATATATTTTAATTTTCTACAGATATTGCTTTTGAAATTAAAGAAAAATACATATTTTTAAGTCTTAGAAATCAGTAATATACATAAAGGACATTTTTAAAGATTATACAGTTCATCTACCTAGTTATTCTAGGTTTTCCTCCTCAAATCAAGTTGGTCATCTGAAAAACAATGTACTTGAATCACAAAAGCTGACTGGAGGAAAATGACATCACTGAGTTTTATTCCTGGTTATGTCCTTGGGAAGGGAACCGTGACAAATAACCTTATGCAGGCTATTACTACATTAACTGTACCACACTGTTAAGGAATTACCCACTAACTACATTTCTTTAGAGCTATTCAGAAACCTTTATAGGTATTCAGAAAACTTTTTTCCCAAAAAATACTTAGCATGTTTTCTTCTCTTTGAGACCTGGCTTCCAGGACTCTTAGTTAAAATTCCTGCTCAACTAGGTAAGTTCCTGTGGCCTGGATAGCGTGTCCCATTTCCCTCATCCCCAACTCCACACTATCTTGAGACTTCACTCATTACTATTTTCTCTGGTTGGCAATTTAAATATCTTACTTATATTCTTATTTTGTTAGTACATGTTTTTGCTGTAAATGGACACAAAGTATTTAAGGAATTAGTGGGATAAAAATATCATTTGAGTCCACATTAATTTTAAGCATCACAAGAAAAATGCATAACGATATATAGTCCAACTTTTTGATTAAAAACAAACAAACCACAAAACACTTTAAGCTAGAATCATGCTTTTCAGATGTACATCTTTAAGATTAGGCAATGGTATGCCAGGGGCTTCAAGAACCACGAGAGACATGCTACTTGCATTTTAGTATAGTATCCGGTAATTTAAAATACTATTTAATGTTTAAATATACACTAATTAAAAAGATAAATGCACTTGATAATTTTTAAAGCTTACTAGACTTTCAAGAAATTTCATTGTAGCCTGGAGCTTATATAAGATATACTCAGATTTACCAGCTCTCTTCCCAGCCCAACCACATCCCCACCTCCCCCATGACTTTGCTCTTAAGTTTGGAGTATTTGGGTAGAAAAGCTTGAAATATAGGAATCTAGATACTACTATACAGAAACACCCACAGTTACATTGAATATTGTTAGCTAAAGTTACCAACAGGATTGTCAATAAACAATAAGATAGAAAAGCTGGAGTTCTGCCAGGCCAGAAGCCTGGCTCCATAGACCAGAGGATCTTGTTATTAGAGGGCTCTGAAAGTCCTGAGCCTACAGACGTGTGTGTGTGTGTGTGTGTGTGTGTGTGTGTGTGTGTGTGTGTGTTTGAGTTTCTTGTACATCATTGGTATTAACAGCAAGTATGCAGTATTAAAATTCCTCTAGAACAATTAGGGTAATAAAAATTGTGTAAATGCCATATGTAGAATATTTTTCTAAATTCTCAATTTGGTCACAAGACACCAAATTATCTTAAAAAGGTATTTTTTGCTAAAATTCTTAACTATGCCATCTGTACTTTTTACTCACATATACCATTACAAACCTCTCCACACATTTGTCAAACTTTTGGTGATATCACCTCTTTAAGGATATTATCACTTTCTCACTAAGGATAAATACTTTTTACATTATCATCCTGTTCATTATCATTATTACAAGGGGGCTGTTTCTCTTAAATTGGGAATTATGAAGACAAACACATCCCTAAACATCTAAAATTATGAAAGGTAAATAATCTGCTAGTATTTAAAATTTAAATAATCTGCTAGTATTTAAAATTTTAAAGTATATAACACATGGAGACAAGTAACAACTGACTGTAAAAGTGTCAAAATGACCATTTTTAAATGTTACCCTTATACAGAATTATTAAATTCTATGTAAACTATCTGCCCTAAATTCACTGAGTCATTACCTCACCCACCATACATCTGAGTCCCTACTATGTGCCAGGCATCTATTAGGCACTGAAGATTTCAGTGCGATTAAGGATACAGGACTACTCTCAACCAGAGTTTACAATCCAGTTTGGATACACTTTCCCTGCACTTATCAATTTAGTTTCATTCAAAACCAAACAAAAAAAAATCTGCTCTCTAGGAATTCATAATGCAAATAAGTTTCTATTTTTAAAAATGCACTTTTCTAAGGAAGGCAAAAACAGCCATTAGGGCAGAACAAATAATTTATGGACATTTTTACTATTTGGTCTTGACATGTGAACAAATTATACCAACTTAAAACTGGTTTTAAGTTTGTGCTTTTTTAAAACAAACTGAAATGTGAAGGACTTGTCCAGTACAATAATATCATAGTTATTGCAGCTGGCAAATATATTGAGCCAAGGATTAATAACACTTTTTCCTAGAGGATCATTTCTTCCAATAATAGAAATAAATAAACAAATGCCTCTTAGGAAGCTTTCTTTTTAAAAGGAAAACAGATGAATCAATGTTGTTTGTGGATATCTGTAACACTTTACATATATGTAAAGTTTGCATTAATAATGAAAATTAAGTCTGAAAAGCATACATAAATTTGCCTGTGGTTAAACCCCTCTGTGTGTACCAAAGGAAGCTAAACAGCACTAACAAGCTGTAGAAAGCTCTCTACAAAATACAGCGTACAGCAGTTTACCTTCAATGCCGCTTCAAAAACCTGTTACTAAATAGTCAGTGCTAATTTCCCTATAAAAAAACTATAAATGAATTAGCTAAATTCTTCTACATATTCTATTATATAGGAACCTTGCCACATCCTCAGTCCCATGTGAGGGTGAGTTCTTTGCCAAATAACTACAAGGAGTTTCAAATACATATTTATACAGAGCTTTAACACACATACACCAACAAGCAGTGTATAGTAAAACACCAGCTTACTATTTTTAGGCTTCTCTAGTTAACCAAGTATCCTGAACAGGCTGCTTTTAAGATGGGCCTTGCCTATTAAATCAACAGCAAATAGGCTGTAAGAAATGCACTGAATCTGGCAGGAAAGAAAAAAATAATCTGCCAGTAAAACTTGTGACTACCTAGTGACAAGTAACAACTGACAGTATCAAATGGCAATTTTTAAGTGTTGCCCTTAAATGAAACATTAAGTGGCAATACAGTACACTTTCAAACCAGATAACCAGTACATCAGCCATCTTCACTAAGTTATTACCTCATTAGCTCAACAAATATTTGTGTGCCTACTATGTGTCAGACACTGTATTAGGTACCCGGGTTTCAGCATATAAAGGCCCTTCTCTGAAGGTGTTTATAAATATAATCCAGTGAGCTATCTTCAGGAAGTAGCAAAACAGCAAATACTCAATGACTGGTACAAAGAAAGGTAAAGATTTCCCTGTAGTTAAAAAAAATCTCACACACACAAGAACTACTTAAGCTTCTCTAATGATGTGCCTACACGTAGACAATTTTTTACTGACCGTGGTTTCTGGTACATTTATAACAATGACTTAAAGAAATGAAAGTGTAAAAAAAATCAAAACAGGATGCATATGGATTTATTAAAGGTTACTCCCCTCTTTCTTAAAAACAAAACAAAAAACAGGTATGGACACAGTCATGTACAGGTTGATGTATTAATATTCCTGAGCACCCGCACCAGTCCAAGTTTTAAAGGCTGAACAATAGCATATAGCAAATAATCACTGGCAGTAAACATTTTCATTTGGAATTAGCACGGTGTTCACAAGGGCGTAATAGATAAAGTAATTTTCCTTTTTCTAGGCGTTCCCAGCGGCCCATCTCCCCACACTGGTCCCTTTAGGACTCAGTGGTTCTCAACCTGTGGGTCGCGACCCCTTTGGGGGTCGAACGACCCTTTTACAGGGGTCGCCTAAGACCATCGGAAAACACATATATAATTACATATTGCTTTTGTGATTAATCACTATGCTTTAATTATGTTCAATTTGTAACAATGAAAATACATCCTGCATATCAGATATTTACATTACGATTCATAGCAGTAGCAAAATTACAGTTATGAAGTAGCAACAAAAGTAATTTTATGGTTGGGGGTCGCCACAACATGAGGAACTGTATTAAAGGGTCGCGGCATGAGGAAGGTTGAGAACCACTGCTCTAGGTACTAGCAAGTCTTTTTTCCCTTTGGCAGAGGGAGTGACGTGGCAGGAGAGGCAGAAAATGACCCCGGAGGAGCCGTGGCTGGGGCTGAGCGCAGCACCTCCCTCAGCTCCACGTTGTACACCCCGCACCCCCCTCCCACTGGGTTCCAGGATCTGTCTTCTCACAAGGGGCGATGTGTTTAGGAGACGGGGTCTGATTGGCAGGGGGAGCCTGGGGACCAGTCTTGCGTGTGCTTAGCAGGCACGGTGTGAATTTGGACTCGGGAGACTAAGGCGCCTGCGGTCCCCAGGCACCCCGACACGCCAGCGCCTCTCCAGCCACACTTTTAGGTTTAGGTTAGGCGCGGGGGTAAGAGCTTTCCTACCGGGGAAGCGCACTGGGAATGTCCACTGGGGACCAAGGTTGCGTGCCCGAACCCCAGAGAGTGGTTTATCAACAGGTCAGGAGTCCGTGGGGCGGGGAGCCCAGCCCAGCCGCTCGGCTGCATCCCTCTCCGCCCAGGCTGACGACCCCCATCCTCCCAGCATGACACCCAGGAGCTAGGAAGTCAGGCGGAGACCTGAAGGCGAGATTCCAATCTCAAACCACGGCGGGGGAGTCAGGGACAGGTGAGGAGGGGTGACTCCGCCAGCGAACCTCCGCCGGCCCCCCAACATCACCCAGCCCCTCCCCCTTTCCTGCTCGGTGCTCCCAAAGGCCCCACTCGCGGCAGCCAGGCCCGGAGAGGGGGGCGGTGAGGTGCAGAGCTAACGGAAGAAGGCGACCGACCGAGAGGGGGCCAGAAGCCGGGACGGTGCCCCCCGCCCTGCCAGCCCGACTTACCGCCGGGGTCGGGGCCGCCGCCTGGGCCGGGGCCGGCGGAGGGAGCGGGCAGAACCAAGAAGAGCTGAGGCAGGCTAGAGCGGCGGGCACAGCCTCGGGCGGTTGCGGGTTTCCGGAGGCGCCTCCTCAGCTGCGGAGACAAAGACTCCGTTGACGGCGGCGCTGGCCTCTGGCTGCGGACGTGCGCCGCCGCGACCCGCCCCCTCGGCCGCCTCTACAGCTCCCGCCTCCTCCCGCGGCTCGGACTCCGACGCGCACGCGCACGCGCACCCCCGGGCCTCTCCGGCGCCCACCCGTTTCTCGGACGGCCCAGCCCTCCCAGCAGCCCCCAGCCGCCGCCTCCCGCCGTGCGCACGCGCGACGCCCTCACCCCCCAGCCCAGCTCCCGCCCCTTCGCCCCCTCGGAGCCTCCGCGGGAAACCCTGGCCAGTGTGCGCGCGCGCCTCCCCCAGGGTCTCCCCGCCCTTTTCCTCCTCGGGCCAATCAGATGGGGCGAGGGGCGCCGAGCCCTGGGAATACGGTGGCGGCAGCCTGAAGGGTCCTGAGCTCCAGCCCCGGCGGTACCTGGAGCCGTCGTTCCGTTACCATAACGGTCGCCCGGAATTCAGAACCTTCGCCCCGGGAAGGTGGACGCTCGCCAGTTTCCTCTGCTCTTTGGGGTCTCGGCCTTCTTCCCTCCCTGCTTCCCCTCGGGGCAGTGACAGGCCGGGCCTTCGCGCAGCCCTTGACTTCGGGACTCGCACGCCTTTTCTGTGGAGGTGACAGGGGTGACGGGAGAGCGCGCTCATCACTTCTTGCCGGACATCTTCCCTGCCCTTCAATTGAGCTTCTTGAGAGGAACGCCCCTCTCGGTCCTCGCCGGCGCCCAGCGCAGTAATGAGTGCAGTGCCGGGGCCCGCCATGCACCCCAAATGGGAAAACAGACGTGAACTGGACATTAGGACACCTGGCCTCAGGCCGCTCCCTCGCTCCCACAGCCTAGCGCGGTGCCTCCCAGGTCTCCCGCCCGCCGCCCTGGAAGGTGCGGAGAGGAGCTGTGCTGGGTACGGGCACTGCCGGGCCTGCTCCCTCCCACGTGGGGTTAACATCCACTCCCAGGTCCTTGCGAGGCCTTAACGAGATACGCTGTGCAGAGGCTGCTGAACTAGATAGAGGGATCTATTAACTTTGCTTCTTTCCGCACTTATAAAATGATATAAATGAAGATGACAGTAAGTCAATTATAGGGTTTTTTAAAGAGAAGCAAGAGGTGGTGGGTTTGAAAGGGCTTTATAAACGGAATTCCTAGACCAGCGTGAGATCTTCCTTCACAATCTAATTAGCAAGACAAAACATACACGTGAAGCAACCAATCAGTGACCCAACCGAATGTTTTTCCTAAAGCCAAGTCAGCAGGTGCAACTGAGCACCTGCTGACAAGGCCCAGGAAAGGAAGCCAAGGAAAGTACCTGGAAGAAGCTGACTTTGATCCACGTCGTCAGTGGAGTGGACTCAACATTGTTTTATGGTTTCAGCCTGAGCATTGATTTATCAAAGCAGCCTATCAAATCCACGTAGACCATTGTGCTGAGTCTGTCAAGATACTTTAGTTTTCTAGAATCTAAAGAGGACATTAAATAATCTGGTCTCTTTAAAATACGATTTGGGGCCCTGGCCCAGGAGCTCAGTTGATTAGAGCATCATCCGGTGGCAGGGCACATACAGGACTCCACCAATGACTGCATAAATAAGTGGAACAACAAATCAATGTCTCTCTCAAAAGTAAACTGGACAATTAACAGGTTTATATAGATTACAACCCAAAGTAAATTATTTTGCTTTTCTATCCTCACTTTTTTACTATTCTTTGCCTTACCTGGCACAATTACCTGGACTATACTTGGTTTTTGTTTTTGTGGTTTTTCTCTGCCCCAATATATTTTCTGTGATATAATAATAACTAAGATTTATTTGATATAAGTTTTTAATATGTATCATCTCATTTCTCCCAACAATCCAATGAGGCAAGTACCATTATCCTCCATGCTCATATGAGGAAGCTGAGGCATAGAGAAGTTAGGTCATTTACCCAAGGGCCCATAGCTAGTGAAGAGCAGACCTAGGAATCAAACAAATTTATTTTTTTTTACTCCAGGGCCTCTGTGTGTGTGTGTGTGAGTAGGTCAACCTGTTGTGTAGCCTAACAGGTTGTGCTTTCCTTCTCAGAACCTTCATAACCTAGGGCCTCAGTTCTTAGCCACTATCTTCTGAAAAAGAGAAAAGACATCCCTGATACCAAGTAGCTGGTCTGGCGCTATCAGTTGGGTCTTGGTGTTGCTGGGAACTGGCCGGGCACAGCTAGGCCGTGTGCCTCCTATTGAACAAAGAGTTTCTAAGAACATCAACATTGGGAAAGGTTGCTCCATGACCATGATGGATCAGGACAGAAATAACACTACTCCAACACAGACAAAAACGTGGGCCTTACACAAGCCTCCAGATGGAATACACAAACTGAAAATATCAAACTAATAGGAGTAGCTGTTACTTCTTTACCAATTACAGCTTTAACCTCATTCTAACCTTCCCTTTTTCTAGATAAGGTTTATTAAGCTATAGTTACAGAATTACCCCTGCTTCTTGACAGCACCTAATTTTAGAGCAAAGTCCCCCAAATCACCTAACACAAACTCAAATCTTAATATAAGCCCTGTGTAGCACCCTCTTACTAAGATGCCTCCCAGTTCCCCATACTGTGTGTTCTTCCTGGCTGCAACAAGTAACGAGCTAAACTTATTCAGCGACAGGTGTGTTCCTGGTGACCTTTGTCTAGAGAGCATTGACAATTTGGACTGTCCTATACTGTGCATGTCTATGAAGTGAAAAGCATACTACATAGGCATTTCTTGCCAGTCAGAGAAACGGAATTGCTCTCCTAAATCCAGCCATAGGATTGTCACCCAAAAGCTGATGAGGTTCCATCCTTTTTGTAGATTCTATATAGCGTGTTTGCTACATGCAACCTTATAAAAAAAATAGCGAAAAGAAACATGATGCTGGAGTAATTGGACATCATTTTGCAAGGAAAAAAAAAAACTTCAACCTGTCAACCCATTCCTTGCACCACATGCAAAATAACTCAAAATGGTTCATAAACTAAATGTAAAATTATAAAGCTTTTAGAAGAAAACATAGGAGAAAATCTTTGTAATCTTGGGTGAAACAAAAAATGTCTTGGATATAATACCTAAAGCACAATCCATAAAAGAAAAAAATGTGTTAAAAACTTATGCTCTTTGGGTGACACTTAAAAAAATGAAAGGATAAGCAACAGGCTGGAAGAAAATATTTGCAAAATACACATCTGATAAATACATATTCTGTGTTCAGAATATATGAAGAACTACAAGACAAACCAATTTTTTAAAACATAATTGAACAATATCCATAGAAGATAATGGATGGCATAAGAAATGATGCTTAAGATCATTAGTCATTAGGGAAATGCTAATTAAAACCACAATGACGTATCACTACTTGGTTAAAATAAAAATAATTGCAAATGCTATTGAGGATGTGGAACAACAAGAATGTCCAAACATTGTTGATGGAGATGCAGAATGGTAGAAACACTTGGGAAAACAATTTGGCAGTTTCTTATAAAATTAAACATACACTTACTATATGACTCCTAGATATTTACCCAAGAGAAATGAAAACATGTTCACACCAAAACTTGGACACACATTTTATAATAGCCAAAAACTGGGGGCAATCTAAGTGCCCTTTAATTGGTGAATAGATAAGCAAATGGTGGTGCATATATACAATGAAATCTACTCAAAGGGACCAAACAATATAAATGTATCATTCTAAGTGAAAGATGCAAACTCAAAAGTAGTTGGGAGCTGGGAGGGGTTAACTATAAGGGGGCTTGAGGGAATTTTGGAGGGTGATGGAACTGTTCTATATCTCAAGTGTGATGTGGGATACACAATGTACGCATCTTTCAAAACTCAGAACTATACACTAAAAAGACTGATTTTATTGTATTAAATTACATCTCAATAAGTTTGACAAAAAAGAAATGTTAAAATGGAAAAAAGTTGGGATGAAGTAGAGCTAATATGAAGACTCTGAAGTAGCACACCTGATATTAAATTCTCAATCTAATAAAAAGAAAGAAGATGGAAAATGTGCATTATGAAAGACTTGCCTATTTTTTCTTGTAGAGTAACAATTGATAGTACGTTGAAATGATTTTTTAACAAAGAGGAATTACTTGGTTTATAGTACAGTAACTTAAAACTGAAGTTGAATGTCATTGCCAACTGCTGATCAATCACAGATGAAGATTAACATTTCTGAAGCTAGAGGAAACAGTTCTGCTATTAGAAGTCACCAATAATCTCTGCCACAGTGGACAAAGTTCTCCCACCCACCAGTGCTCAGAAGCCTGCTTTTGGTGGACTTCCAAATTTCCCTTTTCTCCAGTGGCTGTGGAGGCCAGAGTCTTCATTCTGCTTAAGTGCTCCAGGCTCCTTTTAAGAAGCCCTTAGAGAAGACTGCATAGTACCTAGAAACCTTCCAGTTTCACAGAATTCAGTCTTACTGTTTCCTGTCTATACTAATAAAAGGATAATATGCTAATTAGACCGGAGAGACCAGACGTCCTTCCGGACAAAGCCATGGTGGCGGGGGCCAAGGCAGAGGCAGTTAGGGGCGATCAGGTAGGCAGGCAGATGAGTTAGGGGTGATCAGGCAGGCAGGGGAGAGCAGTTAGGGGTGATCAGGCCGGCAGGGGAGAGAGTTGGTAATTATTGAAGATTCTCTCTTATTGTTTCTGTCAGTTGCTAAATTTGTTTTCCTCTTTTTTTTAGCCATTGGTTTGTCCGACTCATCTCTCCCTGTGACTTGGAATTTTCTCATGTGCACACTGGAGGTGATGTTCTCTCTTCCCAATAGTTCCAAAAAGGAGGGACTTCAATTATGAAAGGTAAACCATTAACCAATTTTAATAAAATTTAATAAATTATTAAATAGTGCTTTAATAGATCACTATCTTGTGGTCTTAGTGAGGAACCATTTTAGAGTAGGAAATTGATTTACTAAAAGGGATCTTTTTTTGTAAGAAAGAGAAACCCACTTGAGCTGAAGTCAAAAAGAAGGTGGAGTTGAGAAGATGTTTGTGTAAATATCTTATGGAAGGCAAGGGATCTGTGTGCAACCAGACCTCATGAGGAGCTACAGCCATGAACTGGTAGACTCTATGACCAAGGGAGCTACCCTCTGCTTTTCTCACTCTCATCCCTAGCTTCTCTCTTGAGAATTTCCTTATTCCCACTTTCACTATCTTCCCATGCCCTTAACCAGATGAGCTTCAAACAGCTTTCTTACTAGAATCATTGATGCCCAAGTCTGTAATGTCTGGGGGAAAATAATCTAAGTACCCCAGTTTGAATCTGCTTTCTACCCCTGGTTCTAGAACACTAAATATCCTGTAGTCTGATTCTGCTACACGTCCTGCTCTTCCTATGGGCTATTTGGCTTTGCCTGGTTCCTCTCAACAGTTTCCCTCATTACTTACGGTTACTATAGCCTTTGTTTCTTATAGTCAGGAGAATCTAACCAAAACATTGGGCATTGGGCATTTGTTATACACCAGCCATATGTCTAACTCTAGAAGATAACAAGAAATCTTATCATTGAGGAGTTTACAGTCTAGGATAAAGGCAAGACAGATGCACATTAAGTGTTTTTAAATCATTAAATGATATCACAAGTAAATGCCAAAATGAGTGGTCAGAAAAAGAGGACTGAATGAATGCAGGGAAGATAGATATGGATGTGGGCTGCAGAGAGCTCCTGGGACAGAGAGAGGGAGGAAGTTATCTTTTAATAAGTATTAAGTGCCTGCTTGTATAAGGACTTGAGCTGGATACTTATAAATAGGCAGAGTGGAATGACTACTATTTCCCACCACATCCAGTATAAGCGTTAGACCCATGCAGAGAACTAGTAATAAACCTAAACTACGTTACCTTGGGGCAAAGTACCCAAATGGTAGCAGAAACCTTCTCAATGGTAAAGAGTTAAGTGGGGATTGGCAAAGGTGGGCAAGGTGGAGCTTTAAAAAAATTACAGAATAGAGAGGCCCGAAGGTGAACCTATAGGGTCCTTTATTGTCATCTACAATAGTTGATTATGTTTACCATGAGTTGGGAGACTTACTCAGTTAACTGTTTCCCATATGACCCCAGAACACAGTATGTTTTTCTGGGATTTGTGTGAATTACAGTAAGAGAGCCTCTCAGTTTGGCCTGTGTTTGGGAACAATTGACCCCCTGAGGAGTATGGTCCCTCTTGTGTAGGTGAAGAAAGAGCCTGAGAGTGTCCAGCATCCTAAATCAAGTCCTCTGTAACCAGCATAAATGGCTTTCTCCTAAGTGAAACACTGATATCAAACAGTATCAAAAGACAAATGAGTTCTGGGAGGGGAAAAGCTGTTTTAGAGACAGTACCTTTTGATATTGTCCTTTGTACTCACATTGAATGTGAAGGTAACAGCCATAAATCATTCACCAAAGTATAAAGGAGCTAGCATTAACTTCTCCCTAGATCTAAAACTGCCAAGCTAAAATTTGTTATCAGTGACTGCTGACCTACTTTCTTCCCTTGCTTTGAGGGCACGTTGCTTTGGGTCTAATCATTTGTTTGCCAGGAGATTAATTAGCTTTTGAGAGCCTCTGTACTAGATACTAGTCCCAAAATAGACCACTAGTCCCACTGCCCATTGCTTCTTAGGAGGACAGATTATAGGAGTGACAAAATTTGAGCAAGATGTATTTGCCAGAGCCTTTATGCTTCTGGAAGATGTGACTGACTCAGTCGGTCTCTGGCAGGCCGCCTTATCTACGCCCCTCCCCTCCTTCCCTCAAGACTCCCGGAGCCTTGAGTAGATTGAACCTGAGTGTCAAGGTGATGTGACTAGGCAATATGATGTGGTGAATCCAAGTCCAGGTGCTGTAACCAGACTTGGGTTCTAATTAGGACTCTACTGTTTTGGTCAGGTTACTTGCTGGGCTTATTTTCCCTGATCTCTAACATGTGGACTAATAATAGTCCTCATCTCCTAAGACGATGGTGATGATCAAGTAACAAAATAGATGAAACTGCTCACCCACAGACTAAGTACTCAGCACTGGTAGCTGTTTGCAGTGTGATAGACCATGGTAGCTGTTTGCAACATCCTCTCCCTTAAAGCTGGTGAGGTCTGGGAATAAATTGGATCTGCAGGGACTGTCAGCTTCATAGGGACTGAGGAACATGGATATCTTTCATCAAGTTGTTGATCAATGTAACAATCTATACCCAAACGTATAAAACATATAGCACTCGCCTAGCTGGTTTGGCTTAGTGGATAGAGCATCGGCCTGCGGACTGAAGGGTCCCAGGTTTGATTCCAGTCAAGGGCACATGTCCAGGTTGTGGGCTCAATCCTCAGTAGGGGGCGTGCAGGAGGCAGCCAATCAATAATTCTATCTCATCATTGATATGTCTATCTCTCTCTCTCTCTCTCTCTCTCTCTCTCTCTCTCTCTCCCCCCTCCCTTCCTCTCTGAAATCAACAAAAATATATATTTTTTTAAAAAAAACATATAGCACTCTATTTTCTATAACTTGCCTTGATGCTCCCATCCCCTTTGATGGCAGGGGAAAATCACAAATTTGCCAGTTATTAAGGATAACTCAGTCTCTTTGCATTAAAAAGAATCTTTTTAGAGCCACCTTAGCTTCTTTAGGGAGAAATGCTTAGTCTTTCAGGGTGGTCTTCCCCACCTTTTCCCTTCAAGTGACTATTTGTTGTACATGACCTCATGGCAACATAGAATAGGTGGCTGCTCCATGAATGGGTTCTTGGGCTCTCCACTAGATCCTCACTGGTATTTCAGGCTCTATCTGAATCTGATTTTTAGTGCCTTCTCACTCTGATTTCTAAACATTGAGTCCCCGCACTCATGCTTCAAATACCTTAGTCAAAAGTGACTCCCTAGATTAACTCAGTTACTCATCTAGTTCTAGTTTCATGGCTTTAAATATCAAGTGTTGGTGAAGAGGTGGAGAAACTGGAACCCTCAGACATTGCTGGTGGGGGTGTAAAATAGTACAATCACTTTGGAAAACAGTGTGGTAGTTTCTTAAAAAGGTAAACATAAACTTACCAAATGACCTAACAATTCCACTCCTAGGTATCTGTCCAAGGGAAATGAAAGCATACATCTACACAAAGACTTGTATGTAAATATTCACAGTAGCATTACTCATAATAGCCTCACTGTAGAAACAACCGAAATGTTCATCAACTGAACAAAATATAGTACAGTCAACTCTCATTATTCACGAATTCCACATTTGCAAATTTGCTTACTTGCTAAAACTTATTTATATAACACCAGAATCAAGACAGTGATTTCCTGGTCATTCTCAGACATGCACATGTACAGAGCAGCAGAAACATTGAGTCATCCAGCAAACATATTCCCAGTGGAGGTCAAACAAGGCCACACTTTGCCTTCTTATTTCAGCTTTCTTACTGTACACAAATGTCCTTTTGCAGTCTAGTTCATGTCATATCTAGTGTTCCTGACTAAGCATGAGAGGTTATGATGAACTTTGTGGAGAAAACACGTGTTAGATAAGCTTCATTCAGGCACGAATTACAGTGCTGTTCGCCATGAGCTCAGTGTTAATGCATCAACAATATATATTAAATAAGGTGTCTTTAAACAGAAACACACACAAAACAAGGTTATGTATTGATTAGTTGATGAAAATGACATTTTTCAGGAACCTAACTCTGTATTTTCCCTAAGGGCAATAATTAAGTATTTGCTACGTTAGTGTCTGAAGTGACTTTATAAAATGTAACAACCAGGAATAACAAGAATAGACTGTATGTCCATTCGATGAAGTACTGTTTAATAGTAAAAAGGAACAAACTACTGATACGTGCTACAACATACATGAACTACAAAAACATTATGTATGTATGTAGGAGAAATGAAATCCAAAGAAACATGCCAATTCATAAATATAGAATTAGATAATTTCATTATTAAGCAAAAAATACCAGAATGCATGCAAATTACTCACAAGTGGCTGCAAAACTTATAGTGGATTTTCAGTTCTATTTATCTGGAATTAAAGCTACAGTTGTTACATATCATCCTACCTTTAATAAATAGAATCAGGTTTTCAATTTGTGTTAATAGTTATGTTGGGCTTATTCTGATATTGTCTTTTTCATAATTCTTTATCAGCCTTACTCTGATGTACTGATGTTTATAATTTATCAGGCTAATTCTGATATTCTGTTTTTCATAATTCTTTATCACTTCCTCCTATGGTTGCATCTGCCAGTGCATCTAAGCACATATAATTAGTCACACGCTTCACCATTTCTCAGTGATGTTTCTGACCTCTGAAAGAAGCTGGATGCAAAAGACTGCATGTTGTATGATTTCACTTATGTGAGATTTTCAAGAACAGGGAAAGAGAAACATGTTAAACAACAGCACATGGATGCAATCAACAAATCGAAACTGTGAGAGTTCTATAGGAAAAAATGACCCATTTTATCACAATAAATTGCAAGGGGAAAAAGAACTTGAGGGGGAACCTATAGATTAAAAGAAACTTAAGAGTCATATCAACCAAATAAAGTTATGGGCCTTATTTGGGTCCTATTTTATTATTTTTATTTATTTTGTATTGATTTTAGAGAGAAGAAGAAAGAAAGATAGAGACACGTTGATATGAGAAAGAAACATAATATGCACCCCGACTGGGGCTCAAACCCACATATGCCTTGACCAGGAATTGAACCTGCAATCTTATGGTGTATGGGATAATGCTCCAACTAACTAAGCCACACTGGCAAGGGCATTTTGGTCCCATTTTAAACAAAAACTGTTTAAAAAAAGTATGCTCTGGCTGGGTGGAACATCGTTCCGTACACCAAAAGGTTGTGGGTTCAATTCCCAGTCAAGGCACGTAGGGAGGGGACTTCTCTTGCTCTCTTCCTCTCTAAAAATTAATAAAGAAAAAATATTTTTTAAAAAATATTATGTTTATAATGATGATGATAAGGAATTATTGATTTTTAAGTTATGATAGGGATATTGTGGCTATTATTTCTAAAAAGTCCTTAATCACCTGGCCACGGTGGCTCAGTGATTGAACATCGACCTATGGACCAGGGGGTCATGGTTCGATTCCCGGACATGCCCGGGTTGTGGCTTGATCCCCAGTCGGGGTGGAGGGGGGGCAGGAGGCAATCAATCAATGATTCTCTCATCATTGATGTTTCTATCTCTCTCTTCTTTCCTCTCTGAAATCAATAAAAATACATTTTTTAAAATAAAATAAAAAGTTCTTAATCATTTCACAATATATATGCATACTAAATCATCATTGCACACCCTAAACTATACAATTTTAATGGTAATTGTAGCACAATAAAGCTGGAAAAGGAGTTCTTATAATTTAGTACCTGCTATAATATTTATGAATTAGGTAATACAAATAATATCTGTGATTTGTCTAAAAATAATGTGTGGTTAGGGGGACTGGATGTGGGTGTTGATGATGCAAGACTCTCCATTGGTTGATAAATCGTTAAAGCTGGGTGATGTGTACTTGAGGGGATTTGGTTTTCTATCTTTTCCAATTTTGTGTATGTTTGAAATTTTTTATAACCAATGTTTTTAATTTAAGAGGAACTTGAAGCCAAATTAAAGTGATTCTCACTGGCAAAGATAGGACAAGTTGAACATCAAAATGATTTATTTAACTTGATTCCAATAAAAATAACTTTTTTAAAAATCTAGGCAAGTTGAATATGAGGTTACAAATGAAAATATAAACAAGCAAAAGTTGCCAAGAAAACAATGGAAACTAGTCCTATCAAATATGAAACACACTATGAAGTATAACTAATTAAAACAATATGCATGAATGGACCACAGATCAATGGAACATTATGGTAAATTCAGAAGAAGACCCAAATATGTATGAGAGTTTTCTGTATAATGAAGGTGCCATATCCATTTGGTGGAGTGAAAATGCTTTTTAAAAAGAGTTTTCACTTGGGATAAAAAAAAGAAAAAATTCTTTACAATGGTACTAAATTAAAACATGGGTAAATTTTTTTTATAGCCTTGGATTTGGGAATGTCTTTCTAACTGTGATTCAAAATTCAGATTCCATTAAAAAGAGTTATATAGAAATCTAAAGCCTCTTCAAGTAAAAGAAACCATAATGAAGGACAGATAGTAAACTGGGGAAAATATTTGCATCCCATATTACAGACAGGGGTTTAATCCCTGTACTAGACAACTCACTCTGTAAAGAGCTGCTAGAAATTAAGAAGAAATAAAACAACAACACAGTGGGAAAATGGGCAAAGTACAAGAACAGAGTTTCCAAAGAAAGAGAAAAATGCCTCTTAAATGTGAGAAGATGCTGATCTTCACTCGGCATTCATTCTGAGATACAGATGTAAACTATACTGAGATACTTTCTCCTCCATCAGATTGGCAAAGATCCCGCTGTGAGCAACACCTTCTCCTGGAGAGGCTTGTGGAAATACACACTGCTCTGCCTTGTACTGATGGAATGCCAAATGAGTAACTCTTCCAAAAGGCAACTTGGCAAATCCAACACAATTACAAGCACTTTTACCCTTTGACTCAGCAACCCCACTTTTGGGGATTTAGCCTAATGATCCACTTGCAAATGGATGAAATGTTGAATGTATGTTATTCATGACAGCATTGAAGTGATTTAACAAACTATGGTCCGCCCACACAATGGAATACTACGCCCTTGTTTAAACAAACAAAAATGAGCAAATTCTATAAACTCATTTGGAAAGATCTCTAAGATATATTGTTGGGATTTTTTTATTTTATTAGACTTAATGTTGACTTTAGAGTTACAGAGTTTGTCACTTATATATGATTTAAACTTTCTTTAGGGTTCTTGACTGTTCTAGTGCAGTGCATCAAATCTGCTGTTGCAAGGTGAATTGCATAAGGAAAGAAAAAAATTAGAAAAACACTGAATTACAGGTAAGGTAAAAACAAAACCAAGAAAAGCAACTAGCCAGAAATGATGAAGCTCTCACAAGCTGAAGTCAGGCGATAGCACCGCCTGTTCCCTGAAGGAGTTTTTATATCATCCATATAGTTGGGTTTCTTTCTATTGTTAACAGCACATTCTGTTATTCACAGAAGCATAAACTTAGTAAGATTTTCTGCATTTTTTTCTAAGAGGCAAAACTGGATGTTGCCAGTCATTGACTCAGAATTAAATCTTTCTTGCTCATTCAGCATAAGTCCATAGGTATGCTCTTCCATTCTCAAACATGATTCGGATTCTTTGCTTCTTAGCTAATGGCTGGTGTAGTTCAGCAGTTAGAGCATTGGCCCACACACCAGAGGATCAAGAGTTCGATTCCTGGTCAAGGGCACATACCTGGGTTGCAGGTTCGAACCCAGCACCCAGTCAGGCACGTGCAGGAGGCTACCAATCGATGTGTGTTTCTCACATTGATGTTTCTCTGTCTCTCTCCCACTCCCTCCCTCCTTTTCACTCTCTCTGAAAAGCAATGGAAAAATATCCTCGGGTGAGGATTAACAACAAGAACAAAAAACTGGACATATGCACAAAATTTTAATATTTATGTCATCTTAGTCATAGGGTTTCAAGTTCTTTTTATTTCCTTTGTAATTTATAAAATTTCTACAAAGATGTTAAGTACTTTTCTAATCAGACGCAAGGAAATCAACAATGTAGAATTCACCTGTTGGGAGCATAGGTTAATATTCGGTCCCTGAGCTCAGAAAGGACCAGGCTTGAGTTTAGCCTCTTTCACTTTCCACCTGTGTGACCTGGGGCACGTTATTACCTCACTGCCTATCCGTTTCCTCACCTGTAATGGTCAAGGACCCTCAGCCTAAGGCAGTGGTCGGCAAACCGCGGCTCGTGAGCCACATGTGGCTCTTTGGCCCCTTGAGTGTGGCTCTTCCACAAAATACCATGTGCAGGCGTGCACGTACAGTGCGATTGAAACTTCGTGGCCCAGGCACAGAAGTGGGTTTTCGGAAGGGAGACAGATAAAACAAGACAAGTGTGGATGTGAGAATTAGAAGGGGTCGACCTCAGCGAACATACCTCAACCAGATTGAGGACCTTTTTAGCAAAGGCCAGCTTAGGAGTACCCTAATTAAGTTAATAACAATGTACCTACCTATATAGTTTAAGTTTACAAAATTTGGCTCTCAAAAGAAATTTCAATCGTTGTACTGTTGATATTTCAATCATTGTACTGTTGATATTTGGCTCTGTTGACTAATTTGGCTCTGCCGACCACTGGCCTAAGGGGATGGTGAGGATTGAAGTGGGAGAGTACAGGTAGTATCCGCTGCTGAATGCTTCGGCTATTATTATTACTTTTAGGGAAAATACCACTTTCTCTTGGCACTGTAGTGAGCTTCTACTGAAAATATGTGTGTTAAGTCAGGTTGTAGTTAATATTTAAATACTAAAATTGAGCTTTGCTTAAAATTTAAAATAATATAGTGAATCACCAACAGGTGGCAGCATATCACAGTTTCTTCACAACATTGGACTGGCCACAGCGTCCTTGCTGGACAGCTTGTTAGAATCTGTTTCCAAAGGAAGGAAGAAACTTTAGAGTTTAGCTAATTTGCCTCCTTCCATTTACATATATGGAAACCTGAAGATGAAGTAAAAACAAAGAGCACAATCTTTTCATTTGCCAGGAAAGGGCGGGGCTGAGGAGAGCCATCTCCGCGTGTATGTCACATTGAATTTGGGTTGTTTCCACAGGGCCCCTTTTATCTGGTCAAGTCAACTTAGACTCTGTGGCAGAAAAACATTTTCTAGTTCTCAAGTGGGAATCTCAGTTTTGGGAATAAAGAATATATTTCTTATTCATGCAGAGTAAATGGTTGATGAACCTTAGAAGATGGAGATTCCCCTTCCTCACCTTTTTTTTACTACAGTGGGGCCTTGACTTATGAGTGTCCCGACTAAGGAGTTTTTTGAGATACCAGCTGTCTCTCGGCAGATTTTTTGCATTGAGTTGACAGAATAATTTGAGTTAACGAGCTCCTTAACGAGCTCCTTAACGAGCTGGTCTCAGAACGAATTAAACTCGTAAGTCAAGGCCCCACTGTATTTTCCAGTTGACAGAGGCACTGCCCTTCGTTATATCACTGGGTCCTCACAATCAGGGGCAATGCTCATTCCCACTCTACAGACTAGGGACGGAGGCTCAGAGAAGAAAATGCCCTTATGAGCCTGGGGATGTGACTTCAAATCTGGGTCATTGCCCATTGTTTTGTTCATTCACTGCAAACAAGTGTTTATGTTGTGTGCCAGTCTATGCTAGCTGCTGGGAACGCATCGGACAATGGGGAATGTACCTCCCTAAGGTGTTGCTTGGTGTCTGTCCTTATAGGGCTACAGTGTCTGAACTGCACAACACCGAATTCCTGCCTCTTTTCACCATGCAGGCATCTGCACAGTGCCCTGCACACACAGTGGGTCCCCAACAAATATCTGTTACATTGAGCGGCCTGAGCATATCCCCAAAGGCCCTCGAGGCCACTGGATTGCAATAGTTGGCAACATTAGTCAAATGTCACAGGCTCAAAACTGTTTTATTAACTATCTCAGGATATGTTGACATATTTATACTCTCTCCTGCTCCAGAAAGCACTTAGGGGCTGCAGGATGTTCACATATCCAATGAAGTCTTTGTGTTTTGATCTGTAACCCCCAGGCCTCCTTTGGAATGCCCAGGGAAAGCGGGCCCCGCAGGGCCCCGGCCGCACTGCTAGATGGCAGTAGCAGCCCACGCTGTTCTTGGGCTGGGGTCAGCCTCACATTTAGAGGGTAAGGAGCCTTTAGGAGTGGCTGGTCTATCCCTTCCCCAAAGGGAAAGACACCTGCCAAGGCCAGGCAGCTTAGTTGGCCAAACAATCTAAATGGACAGAATTGTATATGGGTTGCTGACTTTGGAGACTTAATAGTCGCAGGAAATTTTCCTTATGGATTCATTGAAAAGCTATTTTAAATGTTTGGCGTAAAGATTTTTTTTCAAAAAAACAACAACAATGAAAACCCCCAAAAACAGCAGTACAAAAGAATGGGAATGAGGTTAAAAGTAAATCTGCCTCCTACCCCAACCCCTTATGGCCTCCCCTAGGTCTCCTCCCCAGAAGCCCCACTGCTACCAAGTTTTCACTAACTATCCAGAGATAAATGTAATGAGGCATACACACAGAGTTTGGGTATATAAATGCACCCCAGTCATGTGTGTGATCAGATGGATATAACGTGTGCATGCAGTATAAAGTAATATGAACAAACGTGGGAAAGCCGTGGACCTCAGGAAAATGTCTCCTTCACCCTCCCAACCTCCCCTAAAAAAAAAAAAAAAAAAGCCATGAAGTGGTTTCCAAACTCTGGAGTGGCTTTATTTTTACCACTTCTCTGTTGATTTAACAGATTAAAACTCTGCCAGCGGCACCTAGAGTGTCGATCTGGGTAAATCCTGCCTTCTGAAGCTCTCCCTGCTGTAATTAAATTACTGTAAATACAATTAGAAGGCCCCTCTAGGTGGTCTGTGTGACACCAGCCCCCAAGAAATTGTCTTAAGATATTTGAACCAAAAGTAAAGAGCAAAGTGGCGGAATCCCCTTAATCTTTGGGGGCCGATCCTTTGAGGATTTCTGGCCATGAAATAACAGACCGTCGGTTTTAGCACAAGCGGCACTTTCAGGAGATATTTTTTCTCAACTATCACTGGCCTTCGAGGTGAGGGTGGGGGCTCTGGCCTCTGCTGCCTGCCCCCTTCCTGAGCCTCCACAGTGATTTGTGAATTCCGCTTCCCACCTGGAAGAGGGGAATCTGGGAAGTTGGTACTTTGCATCCAACACCTTTTGCATAGTGTTGGGAGCTGTTGCTATGTGGTCCACGTGTGTTGCTCAACAAGCTTAAACTTTGCATAGCCCGTGCTAAACTAATTTGCGTCAATTTGTCTACATCATGCCAACAATCGTTGTGAGAGTCTTGAATAGAACATACAAGGCTGCTGATAAAGGCCCTCGGAGCAGATGCCGCCAGCCATTCTGCGGGGCCTCGCCATCCTAGTTCTTCACCATGGTTTCTTCATATCCTAGTGACAATGTTAGTTTTTCCACCCTGGGGTTGAAACTTTTTTTTCTCTTAAACAATGGGCAGCCCTATACAACTGGCACTCCAACCTCCAGCAGACTTTTTTTTAAAGACACGGCTGTGGCTAAATTCTAGTCCCCGGGTTTCCTAATCACTTTTTTTTTTTTTTTTGCACGTTTCAGAGAAAGCAAGCAGAATTAAGATTTTCAGGGAGAGTTTGTGCAACTGTGACCAGTGCTGTTCTACTTATCTGTCATTGTGTTGAACTAAAATTTTAAGCCTAAAAAATGATCAATTTTTATGGGAAGATATATTTTTGGCAAATAAGAAAATGACATTTAGGACTAAAGGCAGTAGAAGCCATACAAGACAACCATTTGTGCTATATGAAATGTGGGAAATAAGCTCACATTTAGAAGAAGCTTCCATTTATTTTTCAAAGCCAGATCTGGAAATGCATAGATCCGGTCAGTTTGAGGAATGCCCCAGAGACCCTAGGGGAGCTCACTTAATCTCCCACTTAGCCCATGATTTGGTTTTGTCATTTTGCAATGCTTCTCCCCACATCAACCCATGAATGATCTAAAAAGTACCCTGAGAAAATGGATAAATATCCAAATGTTTGCAGTTAAGTGACAATATGTCTGGGGAGGAAGAACTGATAATGGTTTATTCAACAAGTGATTACTGAGTGCTGACTATGTGCCAGGCCCCCTTCCAGGTGCAAGGGCACAGTTCTTGCTATTGTGGCACCTCCGAAACAGACACTAAATGACAGACCAGCAGATACCGTGACAGGCAATGGGAATGCCCGGTGATGGGAGGTGCTAAGAAGGAAAATTAAGGGGAGAATATAGTCAAAGAGCTACTTTAGATACAAAGAAAAGAGAAGATGTCACCAAGGAAAGGACATTTGAACAGAAACTCAGAGGAGGGAGGAAACAAGACTTGAAAACGTTAGTGGTCCAGGCAGAGGGCACAGTGGGAGCCAAAGTCTCTGAGATAGGAATGGCTTTGGATGTTCATCAGTGCAGCTAAAGAACGGGGCTCTAGGGGGAGAAGGAGATAGGAGATGGAGTCCCCAAGCAATGAGAATAAACAGGAAGGGCAAATGCTGCATTATCGTGGGTATCTCCACTATTCAGTGTCCCAGTGAAGAGAGGTGGGCTGGCTGATGGGTCAGCGTGAGGATTTGGAGCTGATTGAAGCCAACAGACATATGATGAGCTGCTCAAAATCGCTAGTAATCATTATGGACTGCATGTGTCCCCCCAAATTCACATGTTGAAATTCTAGCCCCCAATGTGATATTAGGAGGTGGGTCCTTTGGGAGGTAATCAGGTGAGGAGGGTAGAGCCCTCTTGCAAGGGCTTAGCACCCTTATAAAAGGGACCCCAGGGAGCTTGCTTGTGGTTCTATCATTCAAGGACACAAGGAGAAAACAGCCATCTGCAACTCAGAAGAAGACCCTCACCAGAACCCCACCATGCTGGCACCCTGAGCTCAGACTTCCAGCCTCCAGAACGCTGAGAAGTTCCTGTTGCTGCTGAAAATGGTAGGCATCTCGACTTTCTGAAAAGCAAAGACAAGGTCAGGCAACCTGCAGCTTAGTGGGGTTTATAGGTTACCAAGAGCTAAGAGGTTTATAGGTTACCAAGCCTGTAATGGGCAGAGACATTTGCCCTAGTCGGGGAGGTCAGAGGCTGCTGGAGCTTGCATCTGAAAAATGAGCAGGAGATAAGAGAAGTGCATTCCAGGCTGGGGGAACGGTGCCACCTAGTCTATGGTATTTTGTTACAGCAGCCCACACAGACTAAGACAGTAATGTTTAAAATTTGAAAATTAGAGCAACAGTGAGATATAACTTTTCTACCAAACAGTGAGATATAACTTTTCTGGCAAAAATTAGAAAGCTGAATAATGTCAAGTGTTGGCAGAGACACAGGCAGTGGAGCCCTCACGTATAGCGGGTGTGACGGTGGATGGGTGCAGCTGTTCTAAAAAACACACCTGAAATTACGCAGGCAAATCAAATATCTGAGATATCTGATAACCTAGCAGTGCCTAGGATTCATATATTCCATGGAAATTCTATTTTGAAAAAAAGACCTAGGAATTTAAAAATAGGACTTTGTGAGAACTGCTTACCAACCAGGGCCTCGGGGACACCATGTCTGGGTCCATGTCACATCAGCACTGTATGTGTTCTTTTCACCAGGAGCACAGCCTGCAGTCCCTACCTGCCCTCAGCAAGGCTGACGGCCACCCCTCCTTCCCTGCATCCCTCAGAAGTCAGCCCACCTCCCCAGCATGTACAGGGCAAGGGGACAAATGGAAGCCTAACACCACACCTAAATATTTAAAACTTATACATCGAACAGTTAAATATGCTCTATCTTTCTATCTTGACAAGCATACCTTCTTGACAACCGGGAAGGCAGCCTCTGAACCTAGCATTCTTGGATTCCCTGGAGCATAGAGGAGCCGGCTCCCAGCTGGAGCCTGTCCACTGCCCTTCCCACCAGCCCGCACCGGAGGAGACCTACGTGCACGTGTGAGGACACCCAACCTGCATGCCAAGCTCCAAACATACTCCAAACCCTTATTATTATTATTTTTTTTTAGAAAGACCTAAAGAAGAGGCCTGCACAGGCCCTCTAGGTGAACATGAAACATTCCAAGGTCCAGCGTACCCAGGTGAGCATGTCTCCTTGACCCAGTGACTCTGTCCCAGGAGGTATGACAGCCATGTGAGGCCTTCTGAGGTGAGGGGACAGGGCGTAGGCGCCCCTGCCTGGGTAGAAAGGGGGTACTTTGGGAAGCTAGGTGAAGCCAGGCTGCGGTGGGGCCCTGGAGACCATGTATGGGAAGGAGGTAGACTTGATTTCCTAAACAGTAGGGAACCTTGATGACTTCAAAGCAGAGCTTTATGGTAATAAAACTAGACATGATGGAAGTAGGACCATTTTGAGACAAAGGTCAAACTGCCCCAAATACTCTTATCACTTACTAGCTATGGAGCCTTGGGTGATTCTACTTAATCTCTCTGGGCCACAATTTCCCATCTGTGAACTGGTGGATTGAATAAGACAGACAATCTCAATAGCCCCTTCTGTGACAACATCAGTTTTTCTTGTCTGTAAAGTAATTGGGTTGGACCAGACCAGGGATTTTCAATACGGGCTCCAATGAGGGGTCTTGCCTTCCATCCCCCACACCAGACCAGCTAAATCAGGGTCTCATGTTTTAAATTTCCTCCAGGTGATCCTAACTGCAGCCAGGGTTGAGACTCCCTAGTGACACCTTTCAAGGTTCCTCTCCCACCTCCACCTGAATTTTTCCATCTGTGAAAAGAGCGCTTCGGGCAATATAGTCAGTCTCCTGGATTCTCTTATTGCTGGGACTGCAGACCTCCCTGAGACTCAAAATTCAAACAAGCAGGGCTTTGTCAGAGAAGGACAGGGCTCCGAGGGTCATGGGGTCACCTGCATTTGTGCGGAGTGGCCAACGGGAGCTGGGGTTTGAAGCCTGGGCAGACAGGTGCTGCTCCCGAGAACCAGGCCCCACGAGGGGCGGCCAAGGTTGGGACTTGGCACAGAGAGGCCACTTCTCAAGCAGCGTGAATGTTCTGGCGTTTCCGGGCATCTCCTCGGCCCCGCTGGGCACCTGCGGCCCCGGGCTTCTTGGCAGGTGAGGAGGAGCGAGGAGAATAGGGCTTTTCTCGAGCTGTTCCCCAGAACAACATCTCTTGACATCTCAGCCTGTGAAAGCCTTGCCGGGGAGGCAGGAAAGGGAGTTTGTGTTCAAGTGCCACTTTCCAGCCCCACGTCCGGAGCTTAGCATGTTCTGGGCACCGTGAATGAGACCGGCTGACGCTTTGTATCAAATGTAAAGTGGCCTCTTTTCACACGGCTGGCACTGGAAGCTGAGGGCCACTCGGGCAGGATCCAGAGCTCTCCGGGAGCTTGGCAGGGCCGAGCATAGGCCCTGAATTGCAGCTCTGTGGGCAGCAGGGACAATGCCGCCTGCACTGAGTTTTCGCCACAGAGCGAGATTCTCAAGCCTGGAAGGGATGAAGATCCGTTAGGGATCAGCAGGCTGCCTTTGCCACCTGCCACTCCGTCCTGGGGCCAGGTCTCAAGTGCAAAGACGATGGATTCCTCATTCCTCTAGGACGTGAGATTGGATACCAAAGGATCAGAATGTCCAGGACAATCCCGCGGTTTACAGGAACAGCAGGAGAGATTACTGAGACAAGGACTGTCCTTGAAAACCTGACATTCAAATCAAAGTAATAGGGAATCACTTTTTTTGATGTATGAAGCAGAAATTTTATTTCCAAGCTCTTCAAAGATTATTACACATATAAAGTATCCTTTTAAAAGTGTCCCAAATTAAATCACAGGCCTGTCATTACGACATTTGTGGCAGGAAGAATTCTTTTAGGTTGTAATATTTTCACATTTTTAAAAACCACTTGCAATGTTCTAGAGGTCACATTTTAAACAATTTAAAAGATAGAAAATAATGTAGTATTTTTAAAAAGTACAACCACAAAACTATAAAGTAGAGGAATTTAAAAAGGTAAGGATCAAATCCTCTTCACACACCAGATGGGGCAGTCTAATACACAACAGAGCACTCATGTTTCCAAACAAGTTTGCTAAGAAACAGCTCCCATGTTTAGTGTTAAAAATAAAACAATCTTCTCATTTATAGAAACAAAGACATTATTTGATTAGTAAAGCCTGTGCCCCATTTTTGTACTTGCTTGTCTTTTTATTTTTGTTCTTTTTTAAATTGATTTTAGAGAAGAAGAGAGAGGGGGAGAGAAACATCAATTTGTTGTTTCACTCATTTTTGCATTCATTGATTGACTCTTATATGTGCCCTGACCAGAGATCGAACTCACAACTTTAGTGTATTAGGATGATGCTCTCACCATCTGAGGTACTCAGCCAGGGCTGTACTTGCTTGTCTTCATTTAGAAATTCATGAAAAAAGAACAAATTTTGTTGTAGTATAAAAATCTTAGGAACAACAAATGACCAATATTCACTTTTTTTAAGCCTCACCCAAGGATATGTTTATTGATTTTAGAGAGAGAGGAAAGGGAGAGGAGAGGGCGAGAGAGAGAGAAGGGGGGGGGGGAGAGAAATATTGATTGGTGGCTTGCCACCTGGCTGGGGCACTAATATTCACTTTTTAAAAAGGTAAATGTTTTTCTTCTTAAAATGTAAACATCCAATAAAGAAAATATGCATGCTATTCCAGGTATAGAAACACCAATAATCACTTGTGAAAGAGATGTGTTTTACTAGACTTGGTGATAAGGTTGTGGACTGTCTTAAGCATTTCACCAAAAACATCCAGGTCATTACTATGTAAAAGTTTACCCATTTACCAAATTTTCTCATTTGAATTGACTCATCTATTTCTGTAGAATTTTGGCTATAGGACCAGGCCATCGGAAAGGTCTGAAATACCTAAAAGTCATTTGGCTACAGAAGTGTTTTCTTGAGTCGTGGAGATCCCCACAGTCTTCAGAGCAAAGCCCAAGACCTGGGCTCCGGGAAGGGGCTGGAACTTGGACCAGCAGGGCACCCCTGCAGGCATTCTGTATGTGATACTGTTGCAATTCTGCAGCTGCCGGAGACCTGATCCTCTCCACTCTGCAGCTGCCTGAGACCTGATCCTCTCCACACCACCTCCAGTTTGTTGGCTATTTGGATATCCTCTTTTGTGAAGGGCTTATGAAAATCTCTTGCCTATTTTTATAAAAGATATGTATCTTAATTTTTCTAATTTTACAAAAATATATGTTCCTGTGACTCTTTGCTAGAATTTCGTGGTGAGCAAAATGCTGACAGCCAGTGCGGGAGTCTCTCACAGGACCTTAAAGGGTCCCAGAAGCTTAATCTTCATTGAATTCAAGGTAAGCTCACCTCTGTCAGGTATCAACTACATCCCCACCTCCTCCAGGAAGCCCTCTCTGAATGCTCTTACTGAACCCATGGTCACCCTCTCTCATTTCACTGGACACATGGTATTGTTTTTGTGGGTTTACTTCTCTGTGTCCTCTTGCCAGCTCCCTGAAGTCAAGGGCCTTTGCCTCCCCAAAGCATATCATTGGCGAGTGTATTTATTAAGTTAGGTCTGTACTGTGGCCTGGGAATTCATTGAAAATTCATTTGTACTATGAACAAAGCCCTGGCCTAATTACAAGCTACTATTACTATTACAAACATTAATCGGAACTGATTTTTGCTTCAAGGACCTTTCAGGGGACACAAGATACACATAAAAATATACTTTAAAATAGTTTATTAGAAACTATTTTCTGTTATGTATCCAATCTGAGTTGCTTTTTCAAAAAACAACTTTAAGATAATTGTAGTTTCACATGTAGTTGTTAGAAATAAAATGTCTTACATAACTATAATTCAGTATCACGATCAGGAAATTTATATTGATACAATTCACTGAACTTCTACAGATCTCACTCGAATGTATTTAGTTCTGGGCAATTTCATCATCTGGGCAGAGGAGATGCTCGCTCACACCCGCCACCTCATAGGCCCCGCCTTCTTGCCCAAGTCCCTCCCTCTCACTCCGGCCCCGCCCTCTCACCCAGAGTCCCGCCCTCTTACTCCGGCCCCGCCCTCTCACCCAGAGTCCCGCCCTCTTACTCCGGCCCCGCCTACGTCCCTTTCAGTTCTCAGCCGCCCGGACGCTCCTCACTAGGCCACGCCCACCAACGGTGGCAGATTTGTGGAAAGCAGAGACCGGGTCCTAAGGAAGCCTGCAAGCTCCGTCGTCCAAGGGCGGACAACAGCTGTCCTTCTGCCCCCGCTGTCCTTCGGGTCCTTTTGCAAGGGAACCGCCCGTGCGACTGGCTGTCGCCTTTCATTGGCCGGGATGGGTAACTCCGCTCTGCAGGGTTGAACTCGGGGAGCTGCCTGGTGTCAGAGGGTTCGTGAGACCTCCAGCTCTTCCCAGACTACACGCACCCAGCCGGGGCCTTCCGCAGCCCCAGGGTGGCCGAGGGGGCCTGGCCCGGGGCGCGGATGGCGGGAGAGTCCGCCCGGGGCAGCCTGGCCGATCCGCCCGGCTTTGGCTTGAGCATGGGCATCGCCGTGTGATCCTGCCGCCGGCGCCCACGCTCTCACCTTTGGACCGCTGCAGAGGGGCGGGGCCTGCGGCGAGGGGCGGGGCTTGTGGGTGGGGCGGGGCCTTGTGATGGGCGGGTGGGGCTCACGTGGAGTGGGCGTGGGGTGTACAGGGGCAGGGCCTGTGTGCGCCAGGAAAATGTAAAGCAAAACTTTGATAAAGTTTCTGCGCCCTGGTCCTGAGAATTCCGTGGTGAGCAAAATGCTGACAGCCAGTGCGGGAGACAGACAGTAAACACATATTCCCAAATATATAATCATGTAATTACAAGCTGTGGGAGTGTTGTGGAAGGAAAATACAGGGGACTCTGCGAGCCTCCCGGGTACACATCCCTCCGGAAGCTTCCTAGTCAGATATAGACCGAATCCTGGCACCGCCACTTACCATCCTGAGCAAGATGGGTGGTCAAGCTGGGTCATGAACTCTTGGGTCAAAAATAGGCTTGACCCAGCCTTGTGTAAACTGGCCCTTCAGGACTTCCAAAGGGCAGTGCAGAAAGGTGGGACCCTGGGCAGCTTCTTGGAATAAGTATTTATATTTATTTACACATCTCCTCTCTGCCCCCTCTGCTATGGCCTGAATGTTTGTGTTGCCCCAAATTCATATGGTGAACTTCTAATGCCCAACGTGATTGTATTCTGAGGTGGGGCGTTTGGGAGGTGATTAGGTCATGAGGGCAGCACCCACCCAGTCTGTGGTATTTTGTTACAGCAGCCTGAGCTGACTAAGACACCCTCCTTGGAGGAACTTCTCTGACCTTGTCCAGAACCTAAATTGGATAGAATACAGGCTAAGTGATCCCACAGCGCCCTGTGCTTCATTACAAAGTACACATTGCACTGCCTTGCAATTTCTCATGGGCCTTTCTTAGCAGCTCTAGGCTTCCTGAATCATGGATTGTGTTTCAATCATCTCTTTTATTTTTTCCTTTTTATTGAATTTATTGAGGTAACACTGGTTAGCAAAATTACACAGGTGTACAATTCCACAACACAGCATCTGTACATTGTACTGTGTGTTCACCACCCCAAGTCAAGTCTCCATCCATCACCATTTATCACCCCTATACCCTGCTCCACTTCCCCCAAACCCTCTCCCCCTGGCAATCACCACATTGTTGTCTGTATCTATGAGTTTTTTCTCTCTTTTCTGCTCAATCCCTTCACCCCAGTCCTCCCCCACCTCCCCAGCTGTCAGCCTGCTCTCTATGAGTCAGTCTGTATGTTGCTTATTACCAGTCATCTCTCTCTGACCTCCAGTAGAACTGTCCAGTAGAACTTTGGGGATGATGGAAGAAGAAGTCAGTTGCCCAAAGTCATTGCTACATCAAGGAGTCAAAGCCAAGCTTGTATGACTCCAGAGTCTCTATTTTTAAAACAGGGAGCGAGAACCTACCTATAGGCCAGTGCACATCTCCTAAATGTGGGTGCTCCCCCACCCCCGGCCCTACTCATGCTTCGTTCTGGACACTAACCCCTGAGGGCTGTTTCTACCCCACCTTCTGCCTGCACAGACTGGCTGTCTGTTTTGTACTTCCTATAAATGCAGTAAGGTTACAGGATTGTCCCTTTTGTTGTCATAGAGTCACTGAGTCACCACCTTGGGCTTCTGGTTTTCGTGAGATAATATATTTCCTTCTCTTAAGGCCCATTGAGTGGAGGTTTCTGTTCCTTGCAAACTCATGGCTAAAACTGCTTTGAAGTTGGTGCTCACTGCCTGGCCGATGTGTCTCAGTGGTTGAGTGTCAACCTAAGAACCAGGAGGTCACAGTTGGATTTCCGGTCAGGGCACATGCCCGGGTTGCGGGCTCGATCCCCAGGAGTGGGCATGCAGGAGGCAGCTGATCAGTGACTCTCTCTCATCATTGATGTTTCTATCTCTCTCTCCCTCTTCCGTCCTCTCTGAAATTACATATATAACTTTTTAAAAAGCTGGTGCCCACCAACATCTGCAGGGAGTGCGTGCACCAGAAAACTCAGCTACTTCCCTGTGGAGGCTTCGTGGTCTCCTTGGAGGAGAGCTGCCTGTCCAGTCACCAGGCAAGTGGCTCGGAGAGTTGATGGGTTGTAAGGAGGAGACAGCCGCTCCTGGAGGTGAATCCCGCCTCCTCATTCACCTCCAGAACCTTAGGTTCCACCTGTGCTTGCCTCTGGGGTGTTGGTGAGATTCAAATGAGATGACAGAAGGGGAAGTTTTCATAAGGAGCCGAAGGCGCAGGGCGGCCACCGTGAGAGCTGGTCAGGGCCAGGGCTGGGCTCCATCAGGTCCCCGGGCCGCACCACAGTGTTTTCTCTGTCATAACAGGGCACAGCCTCACACCTGAGGGGTCATCTGAGGCTCTTCTGTCTTTTCCCCAAACGCACGGCCTGTGGCTGGAGGCAGCAGTGTGTCTGTTTCCGGCGGTTCTCTCCACCAGACCGCCCACCCCCCACCTGCGGGCGCCCTCCTGCCCAGCTTTGCCAGGCCCGGCCTGTAGGGCACGTTGGCAGGATGTGGCTTGGTTGTGTCTCTGGGCTGCACACCCCCTCTCCTAGGGCCACTTTGGCGCATTTCTCTCGGGAGCTGCCTAGCTGCAGAGAAAGAAAGGCCTTTGGAACCCTCCTCTTTTCAGCCGTTATTGAATTCCACCTCCATTTCTCTCCCTTTCCAAATAGGAACATCATTTATCTTGGACTTGAAGTTGCGGGGTCTTTAAGAGCTTTCTCTCTTCCCAGCTGCATTTGTTGACAGGCAGTCAATCTGTTTCTTGCCTCCCCCGCTGCCCGCCCCGCCAGCAGGCCATAAAGTGTCCACAGCTGTGCCCTTTATACCCTCCCCTTTCTATGCCCACACGGGGACGAGCTGAAATACAGCACAGCCATTACCGCTGACAAAAAGGGACAATTTTAAAACATTTTTTCTTTTCATTGGAGAAGCTGATGGCACAAAAGAAAGTGCATCATTTTATTGTAAATGCTTTTTAAATATGGGTCACTTGGCCATCACCAGCCCCAAAGGACCGAGAAGTTCAAAGCATGCAAACAGTCACACAGATCTCCGCCCCCCCTTTGTCTGTTAAATTATGCTAATTGACACCCAGGATAACTGGGAGGGGTATCTCCTACCCAGCCTCCCTCCAGGTCCACCTCCCTCCTCTCACAGTGAAGAGCCTGTGAAATAAGTTGGCCAGGCAGGAATGGCGGCCTGCGGGCCAGCAGGTCTTCTTCCTTCTGCTTCTGTTTCAGAAGCACTGAGACCAGGAGGCTGAGGTCTGGGGGATCTTCCCAGCCCTGGTGGAGAGGAAGCTGATACTGTCTGCCCCAGGCGGTGAGGGCTGCCGCAGGCTCCCTGGAGGGCTGGGCTGACCAGATGCAGGGGGGAGTGCTGAGGGCTGCAAGGGTGAGTGGAGGTGGGGAGTGGTGCCCTCTCTGCCATCTTAAAGGTGGGATATTGACGTGATGATGGTTAGGGTGCTGATGAGAGTAGAGAATGAAACACACGTGCTCAGGGAAGTTGGCCCAAAGATACGATGCCCCCTACTGCCCACCTCCTCTTGTGATCAGAACCTGGTTGTGCTTTGGGGAGGGAGCAGGTGAGGACTGAATTCTAGCTCGGTAAACACCCCCTTGGCGGCCAGGGCCTGTCTGTGACCTGAGGGTGACGCTGGGAAAATTCCCACCGCAGCGTTGCTGGGAGCTGCACATGAGCAGGCGCTCCATGGTCAGTGCAAATGTTTGAGGAATCTGGATCAGGAAGTGGAGCCAGGACAGGATATCTGGGCCACGG